TAAGAAGAATAAGAAAAACAAGGCAGCCGTTGTTGAAGAATCGAACATTGTGCCTGAGGCACCTGCTGTCACCGGGACCACCTCAATCGATGCCGTTGACGACTGGTTCGGCACGAAGGGAAGTAAGAAGGACAAGAAAGGGAGACAGGACCCTATCCCTGAAAAATCACCGATAGAGCCAGAACCCGAAAAAGCCACTGCTGTCGCAAATGACGAATTTCTTGGCTGGGCTGGCACTACCAGTACGAGTAAGAAAAACAAAAAGAAGGGGACCAAGGCTGCCGAAGAACCACTTCCACCTCCTCCTGTTTCAGAAGCGCCTGAACCTCCAGCTGACGATGGCTGGGGAATTTGGGGAACATCAAAGAGTACGAAGGATAAAAAGGGCAAAAAAAACAAACTCGTTGAGCCTGAGCCTGAGCCTGAGCCTGAGCCTGAGCAGGAACCTGTACCTGAACCAGAACAAGAACCACCAAAAGTTGACCCTGAACCCCTCGTTGAAGCTGAAGCAGTAGATCCTTGGGCAGGCCTTACTGCGAAAGAAAGGCGAAAGAAGGAGAGGGAAGCTAAGAAGCAAGCTGCTGCGGCCGCCGAATCTAATGAAAACAACGCTGCAAATGCTGTTTCTACAGATCTGGTCAGGTCTCCAGCTCTTGATGACAACTCATGGGGGATGTGGGGAGCAGCTGCAGATAAAAAGAAGGGTAAGAAAGGGAAAGACACCAACGAGCCACCGCCACCTGCTCCAACACCACCAGCTCAGGATCTTGAGCCCGAACCGGCTGTGGTTGACATCGAGGGCATCGATACGTGGGGCGCATTCACTGGTTCAGGAGCCAAGACCCCAAAAACCAAGAAAACATCGCTCTCTCGCACAACCACAACCACGTCGAAATCACCTAAAGTTGAGGACGGTAAATCAACCAGGTCCAAATCCAGAGGGTTTGAAGTTGTGGACGTTACAGATGAGTTCAAGGGAAAGGAGGAACCCATGGTCGAGGTCAGTGCAGCCAGGGCAGCAAAAAGCTTCTGGGGAGGCACTTTTGGAACGGCTACGACTACTCCCATCACCAAGTCAAAGACCTCTAAATCAAAGGAGGATGCAAATAAACAATCCGTAGAGGCGACCAAAGATAAACTTGCCGCTGAGGAAACTAAAAAAGGAAGCAATGCGGACAATCTGCTGGCTGATATTGGCGAGCTGGAAGCGGCTAGCGCTACGGGAGCTGACAAAGCAACCGCGCCAAGCGCGCCAACAACGAAGACCACGACGACATCGACGGGTAGCATTAAAGTTACCAGCAAAACATCGGTCGCGGAGCGGATTAAATTACTTGAGGAGAGTAAGAAGCGAGAAAAAGAAGCGCTCAAGGAAAAGGAGAAGCTTAAGGCGAAAGAAAAGGCTGCTGCGCAAACAGCTGTTCCCCAGCAGCCAGCTTCCCCACTTGACGTCAAGCCGACCGTAGAGCCAGTCGCAAATGACCCACCACCCCCATCCAAAAAGACATCAGTTTCATCAAAAACAAAATCATCAACGGTGCCAAGTAATTCCACGTCAAAGAAAAATAGCGCTACTGCGGCAGCTACTGCCACGCTGCTCGACGGATCGAGTACTCCACGCGATTCGGTTCCTGGTAGTTTCCCGGGCGCATATGAGGACGAACTAGTCGAGATTGTTGATTTGGCTCCTCCTCCTGAACCAACACCCGTGCAATCGCAGCCGGTGAAAGCTTCAAAGAAAAGCAAGAAAGCTTCCCCTGTGAAGGCGGTTATAGTGGATGAAATGGCAACTCCCCCTCCACCTCCCCCGGGCCCCGTCCCTCCTGATGAAAACAAAGATGCTGAAGCTCCCCCCGATCGCGCGACAGCGAAACCTGCCAAAAAGGAGCGTCCTCGGGTTGAACGAACAGCTGGAGCTTCTTCATGGGGATTTTGGGGCGCTGCTCCCAAGAAACCTGTGAAAAAAGAAACCAAAGCAAAGGACGACGCCGGTCCTTCATCCCCTTCCACGAAGAAGCCAAAGGAGAAGTCTCCTCCTGCTTTGTCCAGGTCTAAATCCATGTCTTCTAAAAAGGGAAAGCCTGCAGATGCAGAAAAGGATGTCGAAAAGTCATCTGGTTCTGACGAGAAACGCAATAGCACTGCTGTTCGGCCGCGGCAGAGTAGAGGCATGAGTTTCTCCAACTTCATGATGGGAGGTGCGCCACCAGTTAGAACCAAGTCAATGAAACAAAATGGCGCTTCAGCGTCGAAGCATAGCTCAAGACGCCCGTCTATTGACATTGATGACTCAGGTATTCTTTCTCCCAATGGCGGCCACGCAGAAATGTCCGGGAAGGCAGCTAAGTTCATGGGTGTGAACGGCACCAAAACTCCGAGAAGAGACCCCAATGGCAAGAAGCGCGCCTCCAGTAAGTTGTACTTCTTGTTCAGATATGTTTTAACGCAATGCATATTTCTTACCTTTCCCTTCTAGGAGCTCCTGACCCGTATGCGATCGACGATGACGATGACTTGGTGATGGTCAATGGAGGGGATGTACCCGAAGCATCCTCGCCAAAAGATTCACCCGTAGATTCGAAACCTCGTCGGCGTAAATCTAAACGTGAGGTCTGTAATTTGAATTCTCCCCGACTTTTCCTTCACACCTTCAGTTAATGTGAAACAAGCAAATTATGCTAACAGAAGACCCTGTATACTACCAACAGCAAAAGCCTAGGAGTGCAGATGATGACATTGTGATGGTTGAACCGGGGCCCTCAAGCCGTCCTGAGGTAGTATCTGGCCCTGAGGATTTAGCATTTGTGATCGACCCTCCTAAAGAGCGCGCAAATTTGAAACGCTCCAATACTACCGCGACGCCGAAAAAATCGGAGGGTTTGTTAGGACTGTTTGGCTCATTTCGCAAACATGCGGCGCCACCACCAGAGCACTCTCGGTCACGGTCTTATCGCGAAGAAGATCTGAGAAAATCTGCAGAAATAGACAAAGAATATGCCCGTCGTGCTCGACGAGAGAAGCGACGATCAACTAGAGTGGAGACAGATGGTGAAGGCTTCACTACGGATGCAGCGCCCGCAACGGAGGCGGAGGATGCTGAAGCTAGAAGAGCTGAAAGAAGAGCTCGACGTTTGTCAAAGTACGCAGAACAAGAGGCTCGAGAGGCCGAGGAGAGAGAAGCTGAGGAGCGGCGCGCTAAGCGACGAGAAGCTGAAAGAGTTAGGATTCGTGAAGCACGGGAAAGGCGAGCTAGAGAAGACGAGGAGCGAGAACAACGACATCGCGAGGAGAAGAGAGCTCGCCGGGCTGCACGGCTATTAGAGGAACAGCAACGCGAAGAAGAAATTCGGCAAATGGAAGCGAGGCGCCGCGCACGAGAGGCAGACGAATTTGGGGAAGACGGGAGACGAGTAAGATCGGAACGCCATCGATCGTATACAGACAAAGCACGAGATAAATATTCTCATGATGAATACGCTACAGATCATCGTAGACATCGCTCCCATCGATCTGGTGATGAAGCTGCCAAATCTCGACGGCGAAAATCTGCCGTTTTGCCAGGGGAAGAGTATTACACTTCTCGTAAGGGCCACTCCTCGCGCCGTGCTTCTAATGTACCCTATCCTGGAATAGCGGGTGCTGGCAAGGATAAAACGTCATCATGGTTAAATTCCCAATTGACTGACCCCCCCGAAGCACCTCCTATCGTCCCCACCGTGATCGACGTCCCTGCCCCTCCGGGAGATCCCCACGTCCACTCCTTATCATCTGAAGAGGAAGCAAGACGCTCTGCCCGCCGCAAGGCGCGACGACACTCTAAGTACAACGGCGTTGATGATGCCGAAGCCACAGAACGGCGAGCCAGACGCCACGAACTCCGGCATTCAGTACGCGGTCCTCTCAAGAGCAGTGAGGGCAGTGGGGAGGGTGACCGCTATGGCGATCGTTATGCTTCCGACTACCATCGGCATTCATCGTACGCCAACGGCGCTCCGAAACGATCCAGCTGGTTCAAGAAAATTACAAATTTGTAGAGGTGTCCTTTCGCAGATTCGACTTGAAACAGCTGGAAGCTTGTTCTCTCTGGAAATTGACTTTCTTGGGCACAGCCTTTCTCTCTTGGCTCTCGATTTTTCTTCTTGGTGTCCTTGTCACACGAGTGTGTGTTGCCGCAACAAATGCGGGCAATGTAGCCGCTTAGGTGCGGCTGGGTACAGAACTGCATTATCTCCGAGGTGTGCCATGCTTCGTTTTGGACACGACATTTATTTACCTTTAATAATGGAGGGTTTCTGTCATACGGTTTATGTCATTTTATGTATTATGAATTTTGGTTTGTTTGCCCAGTTTTGCGGCCGATATTTGTTTTCCTAAGTTGATTTTTTGATTTTTTTCTTGTTCTTCTGCTTTCTTTTTGGATTCCCACTTTCCATCGCAGTTCATGTTCAAATCAGCCAAACAAGGCAAAGTAATGTGGCTAGTGGCTAGTGGATCGGCCAGGGTTTGTTTTTGGTCGAACCGTTGTTTTTGGCGTTTGTCTTTTTTCCTTCCGCGATACCCACCCAGTTTGGCACAAATCCCCGCGGATATTCCTTGCTAACGTATATATATGATGTTGTGCCGCTCCTCTCTATGCCTTTGTTTTCTTTATCTCCGTTATATTGTCCTTATTCTCGCTTTTATTCGCATATACTCCGTCTGTTGGCTATTTACATTCATTATTTCCTTCCACTACTCATGGTTATCTCGCTTTCTTTTACTCCCCAATTTCCCAATACTTTATTTCTTGGTTCAAATTATATATGGCAAGTAGGTATTGTGGTATGCTTGGGCATGTCCATATTGCATTATCATCTGGAGGTCGGTCAGGAGGTTGGGAGGTCAGGCTCGGCCCGGTTTATTGTGCATTATATGGATTTTGGCGGGACAATCATTGGGCGGGTTAGGATGAGATCAAGATTGGCAGGGCATATTATGGGGCTTCTTTTCCTGGCTCAGGATTTTTTTTTTTTTTTTTTACCTCTATCTCAACTGTCTAAATACGCCATTGAGCCTATGTTTATCCTGGCATTATTTGTTTCTTCTCCTCGAGCCCATAAAATCTGTGTCTCAGGTAGATATCACAACAGTACTAGTTTTCTTTTGTCTGTACAATTGACAACACTCAGGTTTGTTCTTCCATCATTCGGCAAACTTCACAAGAAACCTCTATCTAGTCATGTAGTAGTCAAGGAGATTAAAATAAAGGAATAAAAAACTAGAATCATATAAGGTAATCTAGAGGAAAGATGAATCAAAGAAGTACAAGGTCTCACAATTAACCATCTCAAAGAGCAAGGGAAACTAAAAGCATAGATACACAGGAAAGTTCCAACCGCTACGCCATACGATCATGCAATTCAAGACCCATAAAGCATTTATCTTTTTTCTCCCCCGAAATCACGAAAAGTACAAGGTTTCGTAGATTAAAATTTCCTCCGGTCGTCACAAGGAAAAAAGAAGGTAGGTTCACAAAGCCTAAACCTGAGATTCACCTGGGAGCAGATTGCCTTTGACAGCGAACATCTTCCCTGTCGTCGCAGCCACGAAGCTGTCGATTTGGCGTGAATATTGCTCCACTTGCCTAGTATTTAGCAATGTCTCTAATCTGCTGGGTTCCTGGGGAAGTTTGAACAGTCGTTGCCACTCATCCTCTGGCAGAAGGGGCTGCTTCAGCTGCGCACGCGTGGCGTTCTCGGCCTTGCGTTTGGCCTGCCACTGTGTAATCTTGGCTTGCTCGCGGGCAAGCGATCGCTGGTAGAATTGGAAGTTGTTGTTTTCAGTGTGGTGAGTTTCAATGCTTTCGAGCAGCAGGTCGCAGTTCTTCTCCAAGAATGGGTCAATGCTTAGAGAGAGGCTGTCGAAGTTGGGAGATAACAGCGAAGACGACGTGTAAGGTCCAGAGGTCAGAGCCTCAAGGGATTGTGGGAAATCCAAGGGTTCCGAAGGAGTGGGCGTTGGAAGTTGGTGGAGGTAGGATGTGAGAAGGTGGGAATTGTGAATTTGAACGGGGAGCTCGACGAAGATGTCTTGGTATCGAAGGTTCGATTTCTGGAGTCTGTGATGGGCGGAAAATAAGTGTTAGCTACTCCTGAGTTTATAACTCTATGAGAAAGGTGGACATGGTATCGTACTGTTCGCTGGTGAATTTGTTCTCCTTGAATGCGAGCATAAACTGAGGTGATAGCCTAAAAGCTCTGAGGGCCAAAGTGCCCTGAGAACTACGGCTGATGTCGTGGACTAATGCCACCGTTCGTTCATTCAGTTCTTTCTGATAGTAATACTGATTCTCGATAACGTTCAGATTGACGAAGTTCCCCATGTTCGCACTTGTGTACCATCCGACATTGTTGGCATCTATGTTCACTTCCCGCAGCATTTTGATCATTTCCGCTTGATAAACTGTGTTCGCCTTTGCGCGCGGAGCAACAGCAGCCGAATTTTGGGAAGCATTATCGAAATGAGACTCGGTTGGGATCTCCACAATTGGGAAGGGGAAGCAGTTGGTGACTTGCAGGGCGCCCCGCACATCCATGCCGACAAGTGATCCGGTCGCGATAGTAGGGAAAGCCTGGGAGCTATGTTTGATGATTTTCATGACAACCTGAATCATATGTAAGTTTCATATTCCTGCCTCGCCGTTGTCGACTCAATATCGAAATTTCTTTTCTTACCAGTGCCTCCACCTGGACCACCTTGAGCGCTGCATCTTTTCTATGACTAGTTAGCGAAAATCCGCAAAACCCGGAGGGAAATATACATACTCCGCCATATTTGCGACGACGACAGCTACTAGATAAGTGTTAAGAGTTAAGAGTAAAGCGTGTGGATTCTGCGGTTCAAGTGTCTCACTCGTTCGTTCGCTGGTCTTTGACGACGTTGCTTGGTTTTGTGTGGGTTTTGCACATCGCAAATAATTTAAAGCACACTGACCCCGATTCGGCCTAGCGTGTAATTTCCCTGAGGTGCGGCTCTTGGTGCTTCAACTCTAAATAATTAATATCAACGACAAGTTGACAACTAATATAATAATTTTCAGAATCAACGGGACAAACAAACCTTGACAAAAAACCTATAAGCTGTATCGAAACATATTTAAGCTTTTCTATTGTTGTTATTTGGATTTTTACGCGCTGAAGATGACCGCTTCCAATATAGCATCTCGTCTTGGCTCAGAATTCTCGAGAGAGAGCCATCGCTATGGGCAAGAGAGCATCCTTCAAGATATATCTGTGTATTATCCCCGCCCTCTTTCGCAAACGAACCCTTCATCAAGTGTCTGGATAATGTACGCTCACTTCTCCTTCCGACCTAAATATCAGCTAAACTCTTCCGATTTTATTTTGCTTATCGTATGAATCAACAAAGTTACATTCACGGCGGTGCGTGGCGCGACCCCGAAATTACATCCGCCTCTCTTGAGCCCACGCTGGGGGCTCTTGTTTCCAATTATGACCCTCAAATCCTGCAGGGGGTTGCTGCCTTTGCGTCAATCGATTATCGTTTGACAGCCCATCCCAAATTTCCCCAAGATCCGTCCACCACCGAGCCGACCCATTTGCGGAGTGCAACTCACCCTGATCAGCTCAATGATATGCAAAAGGCGATCGCGTATTTACAGGCTAAATTCCAGTTTGGGGAAAGATATATTCTAGTCGGACACAGTTGTGGCGCTACCCTTGCTTTTCAAGCCGTGATGGGAAGTGTTCTAAGCGTCGGAACAACAGGAAGTGGGGCTCCCGGGCAGAATATGAAACTGCCCATCACGATAGTGGGTGTAGAAGGCATCTACGATTTGCGTGCTCTCCGTGATAATTTCAAACATCTTCCCGTTTACCAAGAATTCATCGAAGCTACCTTTGGTTCGGATGAAAATGTATGGGATGGACTATCGCCCGCTCAAGTGGAAGGACAACAAGGTATAGAAGGAGGGTGGGTAAATGGCAGGCTAGCTGTGCTAGCTCATTCTAAGGCCGATGAATTAGTTGACATTGGACAGCTAAGAGCTATGGCCAAAGTGCTAGACATGTGGAGAGCAGCGGGCAGCCAAGGGCGTAGTAGGAATGTGCTTCTGCTTGATGACCTGAAAGGGGCCCATGACGAGATCTGGAGCAAAGGTGATGCGCTGGCTCAGGTTATTGTAAAGGCAATTTCTGAGTTGAATCTATCCGAGAAGCTGTGACCGTTATATTGCAAACGGGAAACAGAAAAAAGAAAAAAGAAAAAGCAGAAACGAAGGGGAAAAAAATGTTGGACCAACATATGACATTCGTATCTTTACTCAGGGACGGGTCGATAAAGAGGGTTGCGCCGAAACCACCATGAAAAACTTGGGCGGCGCCTACAAGACAACAAGACAAATTATTTCAATCAATATGAGGTTGACTCTGATGCATGCCGCGTATATAATGACAGCTTATCAATACAGCTAACTTTGCACGCCGTTTCTCAGTTTGCCTCAGCAACACATTCCTAATCCACCACTGGAGACAAGGCTAAACTGCGAGCACCTCTATTTTTCCCCGACACTGAGGGCGTTCATGCACAGCCGAGCTCAAAACAACCCCCAGTCGCCCTCTATCATTAGGCGAGGGTTTTGATGAAGGCTTATCAGGGTTACCCAGAAAGTGAAATACTAATAAAATGCAGCGTTCTGCCAGCCAATATCTCCCCCTACTGACTTATTACCTTTTTCACCTGGAGTCTCCCATTTCTGCGCAGTAGATTACCTCCCTCTGGATGCAGAGGTGTGCCCTGCCCAGGCCGGTCAGCAGAACGATTGCCCAAGTTTATACGTTTAACTACGAGAAATTTACTCAATATAGGAAAGCTTCTCTGATAATCATCTTTTAGCCTACGCTAGATTGATACCAATTTTCGGCCGCATGGCAAATTTGTGGAAATATTCCAAATTCGGCCTGTTTTGGGCCCATTTTTTTGAATGCAATAATTGAGCATTGTTGTTTTCACACTGATGAGTGGGCAAGTTTCCATCGAAGTTATGGAGCTGCTTCACATTGCCCTATTTTGGTTAGCGTGGGCCAACATGAAACATATCTGTGGATGGAACGACAGACATGATACAAGAAAAATGGCTATTTTCAATGAAAGGAGGGATATAAAAGCCAGCACTCATTATATATTTTTCTTTGTCCGTAATAACCCATAGCCTTACTTTCCACCTGAGTTTCTTTCTACATCATGCATTGGCTACTTAGCTTACTCCAGATACTTGGTGAGTAAGAAAAGGAATAAAATGATAGAAGCTGATCATTTCTAGCTTGCTAACAGATGATACCCCTGTTTTGTTGCAACGTTCTCGGTTTTCGAGCCGACATTCGGGCTGATAGTAACCGTGACGGTAGAGTTGATCTCGATGGAGACATAGATATTCCCCATAAGCTGAACCATCTAGACCATGCCGGGGCCATATTTCTGGCTAATATCGGTGACACCGACCGGCGGTGTTCTAAACTGGCACTGAATGGCAGTCCTCCGTCCAACGAGAAACTTGCTGCCTGCAATGATGCCTCCGATAACATCCAACGCTCCCCTCAGTATATGGCGCCTCTTCGAACGGTTCCTATTTCCTGCTTAAGTCCAAGTGCATATGGAACTGTGTCAGTTGAAGACGCAACAGTACGCAAGAACGTTCGCATATTCCGCCAGGAAGGATCGAGCTGGCTGATCACGCCAAATGATCACAAGTTTACTCAAAACTAGCTGCAACAGGGCCTAAACCTTGGACTTGATGCCAGGGATACAAGGCGGCCAGGTGGCTGGGATGGAAGAGTGACTGTCCGCTTTACAGTTCACGATCGCGGGAAGATGTCAGCCGACAGTGTAAAGCTGCGCGTTGCTCCCATTTTAACTTATCATCATTCACATTCGGTCCACCAAATCCTCACCACTGCAGGAAACAATACCTTCAACCTTTTCCAAGCCAAATTTGTGTCCGCTTTTGATGCCGCCCTTGCCGAAATGAACGTCAATTCCCCACTCTTCAAATTCAATGCGTCCGACGACATTTGGGCTCAAAACTTTTTCGAACCTGGGTATACGAGCATGCCTAGTCCGGATGGGCCAGTGACGCTGCGAATCATGATACGTTCCGCTCAAGACAGCCGCGTTGCTGGACGTCAAGTATTTGAGTATCTACGAGCCGCAGGAACGGGAGCAGTTCAACACCTTGGGGGCGCGCGTGATGAGGTCAACTCCATGGAAATTTAGAAACTATTCCACCTCACAGTTTCAAAGGCAAAAATTACAAAAAGCCATACATCTTGGAATACCTGCAAGCACAAGAAATTCAAGATCCGCTTCTGGTCGACGTCGACTGGCTTGCCGTCGGACACGTTGACGAGATGCTTCAATTCCTTCCTGCCAATAATTCACTGGGCTGGGTTATGCTCGTCCCGGATCCACAGGAAGGGCTTGCTATATTGCGACACGCCCAGTCAGCCGGCCACGGGAAGACCGGGGCCTTTTCCCGCCAAAACGATACCGAGGGGAATCCGTCCGATCTATTTGGGATACCCTGGGGCCTTCGCGGTGTGCCAAGCTACACGATCGATGAACTCCTTTTGCAAAACGAACTCATAGAAGCCAACGCCAACTTTTCTGAGCGCATCAAGGCTACCGTCGACGTTCTCAAGTGCAAAACGGGCATCAAAGATGCAGATAATACGGTTTACCTGCGGTTTTCCGCACTGGGCTGACTTATCCACCGGATGTCGGGATCGAGCATGAGAGGAGTGGCAGCCATAAGTATGCTGGATCACTGTATCCTGCCACTATCAACGGGCTAGTTCTGAGTGATACGGAATACTTGGCACCGAATCCGTGGGGCCCAGTTGTTAATGGCAGGGATATCATGGCAGATGCAGTATCTGAGGTCTATGGCGGGTTGGGGTTCAAGGTCAGTTTCGTGGATGATTAGAATTCGCACCATAGTTGGGGCGGTGAGGTTCATTGCGCGAGCAATATAATTCGCGATGGGAGTCATCGGTGGTGGTAAATGCCGAGGGGCCTTTATATCCCCCCTCGTTTCTGGCAAGGGGCTGTAAAATAGAGGAACTAGAAGCAGATATTTCAAACTTAAAAAGCTATTTGACAATTGTGATGGGCGATCTGTACAATTCCCTAGAAAATAAATAGCAGAATCTTAACTACATAAATAAATAAAAATAATAATGATAATAAAAAATTAACGTTATGTCCATGAATATTACATCCCTCCACTAAGCAAAAAAAGCGCATCTATCCGGCAAATGCTCAAAAACATCACTCCACCAGCATTCATACTGCGAATCTCCAGCGCGCCTAATACTATCCCGACGGCTGTACTCACTCAGCAAGAAAGTCCCTGCGTCTCGGTAATGTAGTGTCCCCAAAGCTCTACTCAGTCTCATGAATGAACTAGTAACAAATTCCCGTAAAGCCAATGCATCCTCAAAGTGATCACCAGCTTCAACCCCAGCTACGAGCAGCGGCCACGTAACCACCCGAGCCAGAGATTGGCAGCGCAGGTCAGATTCAGGGGTATATATATTGCCCAAGTTGTCCGAGAGCGTCTGCCGTGCTACGATCTGAATATCCTGAACCGTGACATAGGATATCATATCTGGTGTTGCATCTGAAGCGCAAGAGGCGAGAATGAGGCCTTCAAAGTTCAGAGCAAGGGACCGTATGCAGTAGAGAAGGACTGCGGATTGGTATACGGTTGCTATCTGGAGCCAGTGGTTTCGATCAGGCTGGATGAATTCGCCCGCGGCTTTTCCGTGGGGGGTTACAGATGCCGCAGTATAGTATTGAGTCATGCTGTCCGCCCAGCCTGCTGCGGAAAAAGAGAGAATACTTTGTAGCAGCGACCGTACGTCGTTTCCGAAATCCATCGGCATTCTGTCTGTGCCAATAGCTTGTACGGAGAGCGTTCGGTAATGGTTTATTTGAATAATACACTCGAACAGTTTGTTTGGGCAGGGGACAAATGTTTCCGAGCCATTATGGAAAATAAAAGGTAGATCCTCCAGATATCCTAGTTGTCTGGAAATGTCGACCATGGATAATGTCTTCCGGGATGTAGTGCCGCCCAGGACATCGGCTCTAGGAGAAATGAATCAGAAGCAATGACCAAATGAAATATATGAAAAAAGGGGATGGGTTTTGCGCCATGGCCAAACGAGATTTTGAGAATATGTCAATATACGTACAATAAGTAACATGTCAGGGGGCTTTTCAATATGGGGCACCGCTCAAGAATAGCTTTTGCTCCCCCTTTCAGCCCGATTATCGTCGTTGCACCTTCGAAATGGGCCAGCCATTCACCGTAGGCTGATTGCTGCATCTAGAGAAAAGGTTAACAAGCTATGGTTTGAACATCCAATTAGCAAGAAGCCTGTGACTTTACCTCTACTAATAGCAAAGTCAGCACACAAACCAGTGTTACCTCCCCCAGCTGAGTCTGTGGATTTCTGAGCTCGCAGCTTAGTCTATGAAAAGCCTGCTGCTTATACTGGAAGACTTCTCGACCAAGCGCTACTTGTTCGTCCGGTTGCGATCTTACAGCTCTGTGGGTTGCAACGGCTGAGACGAGAATGCTGAAAAGTAAATTGGAGACGTCATCTTGCCAGCCCTTGGGGTCGATTGTTGGGAGGTCTTGATAATAAACTATCGGATCAACCTCTGGATATATGTACTTATTGACTGTGACTGAAGTTAGTAGTGGAATAGGCTGCTCATGAAGCGGGCATCAAGAGTTAGTAACAAGACGACGCTTACAGTACCAGATGGTACTGACGACCACTTTAATATTTAACGGGTATTTAAAGTTCCAAGTTTCTGGAACGCGGTGATTTTCGATATGGTCCAAAGAATTTGAAATGTCTAAGTATCCGAACAAAGTATTAGTACAAAAAGATACGAGTTTCCCAGTTATTGCCAGTGGATGGCGCGGATTGAACGTGAGCCGTTGCATACCCGAAGCCGTTCGCACAAGTTCCAACACCTCCGACCTATCATCTTTCCCAGGTTCGGGAGACTTAGTTGGTTCTTCTATGTCCTCCTTTGCAACTATAATCTTCGGTCTCCCTTTCTTTCGCTTCGGCTGCTCGACGTTATTTCCCTCTCCTAGATATTGGTTTTGGTTGCCCCCCCCCTGGAGCCAGACCAGAGGCTTTTGTTTGCCGTAACCCAGGCATTCAACGCCTTTGACAATGCACTTATTGCAGGCCGGGCGCGAGGAGTCGCACCGGACCCTTCGCTTTCGGCAGGTATGGCACTGGTGTGGTAAGCCGGATGCGGCCCGGGATGGCGGTGGTTCGGAATGCTTCCCAGAACTCATGCCGAATAGGCGCGGCAGCAAAGGACTAAAGCAATTTTCACACAAAAAGGAGCAAAACTTTGAACAAATTATGAAATAAATGCAAATGTTTGCGGATCACCCAGAACAATGAGAAACGAGAATGCTAGTTTGGCAACAAGTTTTAGCTGAAGGGATCTTCTGCTGGTGGAATAAAAGGCCCCATATATTCGATTCCCAAGAGTTCACAACTTCCATCTCGAAGCGCCTCAGCCCCGTGGTCTAGTGGTTGAAGTTACGACCCGGTTTCCCAATAATAATAATAATAATGGTAAGGGAGGTTTCACGAAGCTGGATCGAGGAACCCTGCCTCTTGCGTCCGTGGTCTACCCGTTCGGATCCATAGCGATCATGACGAAAGCATCCTTGATCGATTCTGGCCTGTCGGATCGTTGTGAATGACTATTCCAGATAGTCTCTCCCAGGGACCATCCAGTGCCAGTGCGACCCACTAGCGCAGGCTGGGTTGTTGCAGGCAACAGGGGTAGATTGAAGGCAGCCTAATCGACTGATTCCTCCGCTGAGCTCTTGGGCTGTCTCTGTACGCGCAACTTTCGGGACAGAGCAGCCATGTGTCGCGAGAGGCTGAGCTGCAAATACCACACATCTGCTGCCAACAATAGGTTTGTTGATGCCATGACTCGTCGGCGGCGGACGTGGCGACAACAGTCGGGATACGAGAAACACAATTTGGCTTTCCTGGTTCACTGGAAGAACTCAAAAGAAGGCGACGCCAACTTCGCCAAGGCGGTGCGAGGATTGAATTAGGGCCGAAGCTTCTATTTTAAACGCTGTAACTTGAACAAAAGGCCTCGTGGCGATCATTGAGACGATATCTTTGCAGATTCTCCGATGTGGAGTGAGGTGAGGGCAGCTAGAGAGCTTGATATCGGCGTACATGGAGGGAGAGATTATCAATCACTCCTCTTTGCCGCAAGAATAGTATTAGGCCCTAAATCCAGCGTGATAGTTTTCAAAGAACCGAATAGTTCTCCGCACTCTCCCTCCCTTCTTTCTCCGTTTCCCTGTGCGGTGTGTGTACAACACAGCCAGATTGTCGGACCGTGCTACCCATCCAAATGGCACACGAAAAACTTAAGGGCGAATTCAAAGCGCGGAAAATATATCGAATGAGCATTAGTCACCGGGGCCGGCGGGGTGCAAAAAGGGAAATATCTCGTTTCCAGGGGGCTGAAAGAGACTTAGGCCCAGCCAATAGATATCTATCAATACAATCAGTGACTCAAGAACTGCTCCTTTTGTAACCTCAGCCCTGCTGATCGACGGTTACACATTTTGACGCATGGCATCCGGTTGGCTTGCAGAAAGCTCAGGCTGAACACTGTTGAAGCATTTCACCTTATCGAAATGTGTATCTGTTGACTTTGACTTGCCCCTGTGAAATAGATATCACGCTCATCTTTGCCACCCAGAGGTCAGCTTTCTCCAAAATACAATGGACCTCATTATTTGAAAGCTTGTTGTTGAACTGAAAAAGCTCATTGAGAGGTTGCTTTTCTGCCATAACAAGGGCGGATATTGTCAATGCTGCTTTATTATAAATAAATTTCAGCAACTGTACACAGCCAAATAAATATGCGGTATGTCCTTTCTGCAGTATTTATGTGTGACCACAAGCAAGGTTGCTAGGTGTTTTTTGGTAGCTGACAGTGAAGTTTCACCAAATTTCTGAAATAGAAACCACAGAAGGGATGACTGCGCTCCAGCTAACTATCCCACGCGAGATAGAGCAGGCAAAAAGCCGCAGTATGCACACATGAATGCCAAAAACTCAGAGATAACTATATATCATTGTTCATTCAGTTGACCTCAAACCTTCACTACATAAGGATATTTCTCAATTCCTCAATCAAAACACCCTGTCAGTAAAATCCATGACTTGCACCTTCTCAACCACCGCTTGCAGACCACTGATGAAGACTAGGTGGGCTGGATCATTTTTGGTATAGTAATCTCTATCTTTGGCAGTTTCGAACTGAGTAATGAAAGCGTGTGTAAATCCATTCTAGCATAGGTGTCAATTCCAATGTTTCATGGCATCCAGAAGATTGAAGCATATAGATAGATAAATCAACAGATTGATCCACACTTTGTAAGAATGAATCCTCATACCTGGAGTCCCTCAGGTGAGTTATCTATTGCCGCCCATTGCAGTTTTGATGTAGGGCTTTTGATGAGTAGGATGGATACAATTATCTTTCAACGCAAGCATTTTCGCGCAGGTCTGTGGAAACAAAATTGGTAAGCCCTTTTTTCTTTCTTTCTTTCTTTCTTTCTTTTTGCCTGAAAATCTCCAATTTAGAAGTAGATACATGCATCACTCTAATTACTACATACCTCATTGATAACCTCAGCACTCACACCAGCCTTAAACTGGAAGCAGACAATGTGCGTGATTCCCATCGCGTTGATTATAAGTGTAATAGAATTGGATTCTCTAAGCTGCAATGTGATGAAGAGCAAGCTGTACTTGAAAGAGAGGAGTGGAAGAAAGATACAGTTACAAGAATGCTAACTTGGTTTAAAAGCCAGTGTTTGAGGTTGATATTCAATTATATAGATACTTATACATATGAAGTGGGATGAAGTAGAAGTGGGGTGATAGGACAACACCACACCAGTAGTTACCAATTTGCCCTTACAAACTTGATTAGGAAGCAATATACAGGAGAACTAGATTCGACTAAACTCTCCAGCTATGATTAAGTTACCCTGAATGAGTGTGCATAAGCATGCGTTTCATCTGTCTATATTGTGCGGGCTGATTATTATTTGGAAAGAGCGGAGATTGCTAGTGCTTGGGGTGATGTATATATTCCCTGCAAGTACTTCTAAAGTTGTGCCAGCTCTTGTTGATTCAATTATAAGAATAGCACCTATAAGTAGTTGTGGGCTTCATAGCATGTATCTAGAAAATATATGACGAGTTTCATGCATAGTGGTGACAATTCATACGCCTATACTCCGTAGAGCATTTCGATGTGCATTTTATCCCTGGCATCATGCCCGATGCAAAGTGAGAATAACTATGTTCCAGTCCTCATCCATCATGCAATGAATAAAAAGGTGTTGATAATATTAACACTGCTTAGCTTGGGGAATTCGAAGCATAAATTATAAATGATATGACATTGACACAGATCCACAAAAACAAATGAGGTAGCTTTCTCCCTCCCAAACCCACCCACCATTCTGATAAACAATGTAGAAAATATGACTAAGATGCTATATGTACCAGCCCTCACGAGATATGTTCCTAACAAACCTGACACAGCCCACCATCATCCCAGTCCTCACTTCCAACACCTTGACAAGAAATGAAAAGTCTAGTTGAATCCCATCTCTTCTTAATCACATACAACCACTTATAATTCTCACACCAGAAGGATTGCTGGAAGTCCGACTTATGGGAATCAGCCTTGTTCAGGTAGGCACCCATCTGGCCTGGCTCCAGCGCCCTGAAAATCGGGACCCCGACATTTGTGATATTCTCATATACCTTCTGCTGGTCGTGGAAAGGCGTACTAGAAGGCCATGAATAGCTGAATGTGATGTGTGTCAGTGCCTTTCTCCACGCCAGGTTAAGCGCGCTGTCGACTTTTCCAGCATTTTTCACAACTTGTCCCCCCCAACAAGGTGTCCTGTGAGAACACTTCCAGACAGTGATTCAATGCGTGAGAGGGCCTCGGAGAGCTTTGCCAGTCCATCCGATGAAACCAAGAAATCTCGAGATATTAGACAGGATCCAATTGTGACTGCACCACCGGTTTGGTCAGCATCTCCTTTGAGGAAGGCTTCAATGACATTGTTGGTTATTTGGTGAGACAAGGGTGAAAGTGGAGATTGTAGCATTATTGAGCTTTTCAATGGCCGCGGCTAGCGGTTGTAATAGATGCTCAACAGCTGCTTGGTCTTCTTGGTCAGCAAACATGAAAGCTACAGTGATGGTAGATATGGAGCCAATGTCAGACAAAGAAGGGCTTTGAGGGGAAATAAAGTAATATCCTGCAGCGCCGTTGTCACTCAATTCAGGTAAAGCTGCATGTAGCTCTTTCACTGTAGCCTAGAAGCCCTCACTGTTGTCAACTAAGGTGGAAATATTAACACTTCCTAGTATTATTGGCAGGTCAGGCCATGTTCAAACCGTGACGCTGGCAATTACACTGAAGGTCCCTCCTCCCCCACCTCTTATAGCCCAAAAAAGATCAGTGTTTTGGTATTCATTGGCGGTGATTAGATTGACCTATATACTTGGTTAGACTATTGCCAAACAAAATATTATGAGAAACACAAATAAACCATACCTTTGGAGTTACAACCTCAAATTCAAGTGCATTGTCTGATGCCATCCCCTTTCATGGGCCCAAAGGTGAGTGACCACCACCTTGAATATAACCCCCTGGGACGGCCACAGTATGAGAAAGACCAGCAACAGTGATAACGCCCTTTTCAGATGAAGCCTTATACAAATCACCTAGCACCACTCCAGCTCCAAGGGTAACAGCAGCTCCCTTTCCACTCATTTTGCATCCTTTTGGCACAAAGTTGTCAGTGAAGATAATGTCTTTCATTCAGTAGGTTGAGATTTGCAACGAGTTTGGTGCGGAAGATCTGCTGAGAAAGCAGTGCCCAGATGCCTTGATGGCTAGCCGAAGGTTATGCTTTCATGCAAAATGGGCAGCTTTTTGGATGTGTGACAGTGATTCAGCGAGAACGGAGGACAGAGACACCTGGCCTTGGTCACAAGTGTCACCGCGCGGGCTGTCAACATAGCAACTCTCCTGGTGAGTGGGCCAAGTCTCCCAATTGGGGAATTTCACTGCGCCTGGCTGTTCCGCTCTCCAGAAGGAATTATGGGAGATGTTCTTTGTGTTCACACATGCCTCCAGATCATAAGTTGGGTCATGACAGACACTACCAACTGGTCGAACAGCGACAAGATTGCCTTCAACAGACTCATTCAAGCGCTTCCATTTACGCGGCGACGGCCAACATGGATCTTCTGGTTGGCAGCGGTAAGAAGCGTGATTCCTGCCGGAGAGAGCTGTTGGAAGACCTGTGAGGATGAGAGTGGTAGCTACGTGCAGTAATTTCCGCATTTCTATCTGCAGATGTGCAAGGGATTAAACAACGAAGGAGGAAGTAGTTGATGAATCGCCCAAGAGGGCATGAGACCAAGAATATCATTCATTTGATTCATATTCCCGCATGTTCCTGCTGGCGTGGTTGGCTTTATATATTGGCGGAAAATAACCTGGCATGCTGTAGTTTCGGCAGAACTTGGTGTTAGCAATTGTCAAAACGAGATATTTGCTCGATTCGACCATTTCGCAGGCCGAATGAGGAAGATCGATCCCAATCTCCCAGGCCTCTAGGCTTAGTTTTGCCAGCAGCTGTTGGATTTTGTTTGGTTGAAGAATAAGCATCGAGGCTCAGAAGTTATTTTAGCATCTAGTCTGTAAGGGCTCGCGCTGAATTCGCTGGCTGTATGTGGCAGCTCATCGCCCTAAACCCGATTCTGCATAAACCTCGTTTTCAACTCCCAGCCCAACCTGCTCAAGACAGCAGAGTTCTCGAATTTTTCAAGTTGATCTTCAGCCCCAATTATCCTCAGCCACGTACTATTTTCTTGGCTATCTTCTCAGGAGATGGATGTGGATACGGGCAATGGACCCGACATCCAAAGGACGAGCAATGGGCTGGGGAAAACTGAAACTGACAAGCACGGAGTACCTCTAGCCGACGTGGATGATTCCTTGAAGAGCAAGGCCAACAAATGCCAGGTTGCCAACTGAGCACACCAATTCGCTGATGCTGGGGACGTAGATTTGCAATGGGGGGAGGGAATGGAGTGGAGTCAACTCACCACCAAGCAGAAGGATTCGTATTGTAGGGTCAATGATGAGGTCATTGAACCCAACTATCAAAACTTGTCAGGTTGCGCAAAATGCCATGCAACGTACCAGGGATGCCAACCCTATTGAATCCCAGGATTTCTCTGTAGCCGACAAGGCTGAATGATCTGGGTCTCTTCCTCAGGCAGAAGCATAATCTCACAGCTACTGTTCATGACGGGCAATGGCAAGAGAGCATGAGAATTTGGAGAAAGTGAAATTGATATTGCTGAGCAGGCGTTGCAACCCCACGGGAATCTTCTATGATTGCACAGCTTCGGCTAAACTACGGATATCTCCCCTAAGCTCAGTGGATGTCAATGCATTGGAGAGACTATTACAGCATCTCATACCGCCTCGGGAACCTATTGCCGAATAGATTTCTGTCCAAAAGGGAACAGAAATTATCCGTGGACATTACTCAGGAGGCCTTCAAACATGCGGTATCTGCATAACATACTGGACTGAGATTTTTCCCCATGGTCCATACCATGGCGATGTGGGTATTTGCGTCAAATTTCACACCATAATAGATGATAACCCGCACGAGTCGAAAGCACGTTTCGTATGTACACTGCATGCACTCTGTACAGGTATGTGCAAAAGAACGTTTCTGTCCTACGTTACTCTTGTCAAGCAGAATCACACTATGGATGGTCACTAGCCCAAGTGTATCTGATGCTATGAAGCAGGAGCTAATCAGAGCTGTCTTCATTTCACGCCTTATCACGAACAATATATTTATTGAATAAAATTTAGGGGGGACAGACTTGTATTATACTAATTATGCAAATCCAAAACAGTACTCGCAGTTAAGCGGTTGGCCATTTCATGTTCCAATTTGTCAATGGTAGAAGGATGTACGAGGATGCTCAACACTGTACCTAAAAGAGTACAGAAATAAAAACGAATATAGGTGCAATTTTCAACCACTCCATATGTTTCAGCCCTGACCAATAGCCCAAGACAACTCTCACGGTTTGCGACAGAAGTTATCCACGCACTTGTTGTTGTAGCAGCATTCGGAATCACATCCACAGTACCCCATGTCCTCCTGGCAATTCGGCCACTTCGGGTCTGTCGGTCTACATTTGGTAGCCGCGCAGTAGCCAGAGCAGCAGAACTCGGGACCACCTCCGGATGTGCAACCCTCTGGGAGAGTTTGTTAGTTTGTCCTGCTTAAACTATGGGTACGTGTGAGCATCCTTATCACAAGGAGAATACTAACGGTATACGTGTAGACACGTGGGTGTCGGAGCGCAAGTTGTTATGGTTGTCGTTGCGGGTGCTGTCCGGGTCACGGTGATGCAAGTCTCTGTCCCAATACAGGCTTGAGCATCCCCGCATCCCGCGGCATCTAAGAGAACGGAAGAACTATGTTAGCAGAAGTCTTTCACCAATACAGCTGTGATGACAGGCTTGGTGGTGGGGAAGTTATATGGTCGTACAACCCCCAAAGGCCAAGGAAAATAAAAGGGGTTCTGAAAGAGAGAAGACAGCGTACTTGCGAAGGCAAGATTTGCGAGGAGGAAAGCAAAGGGTTTAGCAATATGCATCTTCGAGTATTATGTGTGAATATAGATTATGTGCCGCTACAAAATTGGAAGTCCCAAAGTCTGCTTGAAGACTTAGAATAGCAGAGGAGATAACTCACCGATTATTTATATCACGAACCTCAGGAAAGCGGATGGTGTCAAAGTCGTGTCCATGTATGTTTCACATTTTGTGCAAAGAGCACCTCGTGAATACGAGCGTCACTCGTCACTCGGCCGCTGACGTTCCAGTAGAGGCCAAAAATGTGGACGGTAAGCTACTAAATCAAATGACCGGACCGTTCAGGCTGCTTTCCTGCTCAGAAATGAACCCAAGTGGTCAACAAGTCGGCGTGGCGAGGCGGAGCTCTGGTAAACTCTCTCCCGCGTGGATTGGAGCTTGAGCTTGGTGTGTGTGGTTCAGGGAAAGATCAGCTTGTATTCAGCTAACTAGCCCAATGCAAATGCCGAGAATAGCTCCTTAGCTTGTTGATGGGAGTTATCCATCTTCTCGCCATCCTTCTCGCCATCCCCACAACCGGTCGCACTAAGAGTGGCCAGGAATCAATGTTGCTTCGAGGACAAACTGCTTTTGGAAAGTAAAGTCAGAAGCATGCCCGGGCTCAACACAACTCTGTCGGCGGAATATCCTGATATTTTACAGTACTCTTCGACGGCGGGGCAGTGAAACATTTTGTGTAGGCATAACTAGTATTTGTTGAAAATGTCACTTAGCTTCACTTGCCAGTTATTGTAATTAATGAAGGTCCGGGGTTGATGAGATTTAATCCCGAGCAATGATTTCTTTCGACTACGCTGTAAGTATAACTACCTCCAGGGCTAGGTATCGATTTCACGTGACCTAGATAACCCTAACAGACATCGTTTCGGCGTCGCCATTCTTCATCTTTGTTTTTGACATCACCGTACTTGATATGCGTGTTGCTTGCCTCATTATCTAGACTAGATTCTAATTCTCGGACGATGTATGGACGCAGAAAGAGCCTTCCAATCGCAGCACATTACCTCGCCTCACTAATTGAAGATTTTACACGACCTAGAAAATAAGATTAGGAAATAAGAGAAGGTTCGGTTCGCTGAACATACAGCTTACATTCCCCCAATGACAAGCCTAGTGACCTCATATGGGAGGTGTCTAGTATTAACTGAGGATAGCCATTGAATGTGAGAGAAGTTGTGGACTCCACATGGTGTCCGGATTGTGACTTTTGCTGGCATATGAGATTGGACCTATATGGTGTAACAAGGAAATCTTGGAGTAATGTTGCTTGATATAAAGCTCATCCACCTGCTGCTCCATCTCTCTGGTGCGCAGTATGAGAAGCTGGCTAGTTGGCACAATAATGTAAGGTCAAGTTTGCAGGGCTGAAGCTCCAGCAAGGCGAAGGGTAGACCACAATAATAAAACTCACTTACACCACCTAGCTCTGACTGATCACTGAAACTAGTGTTAAGCTCTGGTAGTGCATCGGAATTAATTATAGAGCAGTATGTGGCGTCCTCCATTATTTGTTTGATTCATCCAGAGAAAGGCGAGGTACAGTCGGGAGGAAAGGGAAGCCGAGACCGGCTGCAGGAGATCGGGATGCCGATGTATAGCAGCATCCGATGAAAACAGTAGATTCATCCTGAGCTCTCGGGATAGTTTCAAGTACAGTACAATAACTCGGCCACCTCAGCTCACTGCACAATGGAACAATTCTCCTGAAGTGGGAGGGATTCGGGATTTAATAAGAAGCCCTAGAGGAGGAACTAATGTCAGCCCTATCAGCAATATAATACCTAACTAGATGATCACTAACTTGGTCATGAATTGGATATACCCCATATAAGAAATCAATGAAACCCTTGGTTAGGAAAAACAAACCCCCAAAAACACCCTATTACCAATTACCTGCTCCGGATAGAGCTTACATTCAGAGAATAAATGAGGAAATAAAAATAAAAATATGAGACTATACGAAAATGCCCTAAAAATTGTCTGGAACCAGAAAAGCTCGTCGAACGCCTTGCTGTAAAGCATATACCTATTATTTATAACGGAAAGACGGGAAAATAAAAGAAAATAAAAGAAGCGAGCCCTCCGAAAGCTAGAAGTCACGGTTTGTCCATCAGAGGAATTTCATCCCTCAATCCCTCCCAAACGCCTTGTTTAAGAACGGGTTTATCCATCAATCCGTTAATCCGTCAACCCATCCATCCATTCATTTAGGTCAAGCGCCAATATCCATTCGTCCCTTGTCAATAACAGACCTCCCCCCTTCTTCGCCGATGGCAGCAAGAAGCCTACTATCAAGCTCCCCAATTCCCGAGTCAGCGATATCGTCCTCATCGTCTTCAACCTCCCTATCCTCCATAAATGGATTCTCCAGCTTAAGTTTCCGTAGCCGGCCCTTCATCTCATCTCGTTTTCGATTTTGCCATCTCGCCAGTGCAGCGCTAGCGTGGACGCGGAATCCAAATACTCGAGGGTCGTATCGACGTAGGGACTTTTCTGGGATGAGAGCAGGGTAGACTTGGAAGAGGATGCTGTGGAATGATGAGCCAAAATATGCACCATCGATAGCTGCGTGTCGGGATGATTTGGGATTATATATATCTTCGCATTTGGCGCAGTAGAGTGTGACCGATTTTTCGCCTGGTAGATCTGATAGGCCCATTGGGAGAAGGGGATGTTGGTTGCAGAGGACTCGCGGGCATTTGCCAAAGTCTGCCTTTTTGTATTTATCCAGCTATAAACGGCCGTTTGTTAGCATTCAACTCTGTGTTTTCCAGTTGATGAGTTCTATATATACCATTTTGGCTAATCCTCGGGTCGTAACAATGTACCGGGCGTGAACTAGTCCATAGAGATGCCGAGCTGATTTCTCGATTTGCTCTCTCGTATCTTCATCCGTCTCGTGGTCGTAAACATCCGTAACTAGATCGAGGGCATATTGGTAATACTGGACTTCATTATTCAAACCCGTAAGGTTAAATCGATCAGTGAGGTACTCTTCATCGATCTCGCAAAAGTATTCGTTCCCTCGAGATGAGATGAACTATGGTTATAAAAAGGAAATAGTTAGCTAAGTCTAGGACTTGAACAAACAGCGGACAACAGATCTCCTATATTGATATTCTTCGTAACAAGCGCAGAAAATGCACAGTCCCAGCCGGACAGCCTTACGCATGTTTCAAGGCACAATCCAGACACATATTCGATATCCCTTCCAAATGCGCATCCCCACATCTAAGGGTATCACACCACATCGCATGGTCCGTCTTGGTTTTGAAGCTCTCCCCACTAGCTATTTCCCGCGCATCGATCGCAGACACATAAACTTCTCTTAGCCACCATCTTGATGCAAGCTGGCAGAGCCGTTGCAATCTATCCAATCGCTGGCAACTCCTCTTCTCAACTGAAATTCGCCATATCCAACCAACAGATAACAGGGAAAAAGACTGGCATCACGCAATAGGCTTCAACGAGGCCAAAACCGCGGGGGAAATTTCAAAAAAAAAAAAAAAAAAAAAAAAAAAAAAAAAAAAAAAAAAGGATCACAAAAACTCACCCAGTCTTTCCAGTAACTTGTGTAGTCGCTTTCGGTCTCACTATTGAAGTCCTCCATGTCTTTTACTCCTCACTCACTCTCTCCGGCTCTCTTATTCTTGGAGGTGTATCCGTAACACTAGTTACTCTAGGGAATAATGCTACCACGGCATATGACGGGGAGATTGCGAGTGTGAGGGTGCTGGGTGTTTTGGACCCTTAGCGAGTTGGTGGCAAAGGGGTCGAAAAGGATGTCGTTGATTCAGACAGGAGTAAATAGAGAAGAAAATCGAGAGAGAAAGGGGTGGGGTCTTTTTTGGAAGTGGATGCGAGGGGGTGTTGGTACAATTTTGCGATGTGGGAAATGGGATCGATACGACGATCCAGCCAGCCCTGTTCTGGTTGCCATTGGGGAGGGGCATTTGGGGCCACGCACGGCGGCGTTTATACACACGGAGCGTTCCAGAACACTGAAAGATTTACTCTGCGCATTTACTTTGGATGTTTCATATTTTACTACTGGTTTAATATTGATAAAATAACAATAACAATAACAATAACAATAAAAAAAAAATCAATCATTCCAAATGTGAGATATAGTTGGCATATTTATGCATTCATAATACGGTATACATTGAAAAATAACACTGAACAGATTTAAGAGTAACAAGAAAATGCTAGCAATTAAATGAACGATGGAATGAAAAGAGCCGTGGAGGCTGTGATTGGTTAACGTTTCGCTCGATCGCACTCTTCAATAAATTTGTAAATCCCTTGGAAACCGCCGTAGTGAGAATACGTGGCAGCAGGAGAGCCCGTTTCTGCCAGCTCAGGGAAAAAGGCGCGATCACCTAACTCGCTAATGTTCATGCTAGAGTACCCTGACGACGCTCGGGAAGAAGTCCAGGGATTATGTTCGTCACTTCCCCAAAAATGATAGTCTTGGCCGGTAGTGTTCCCAGGTGAGGGTTCCGTCGGTTCCGCGGAAGACATCATATGGCGCCAGTTCAACATATCGGGAGACTTGTGTCCGTAGGCAGAGACGGAAAACAGTTCAGAGTCCGAGCCTACGTGACTGGGTGCGAATGGAAACAAAAGTGCCATCTCAGTGCCGTTTAGGATCTCGAAGTCCTCATCTTGGCGGATGACGCCTCTTTGTACGCCGACTTCATCACACAAGCGTTCGACGGACTCAACATCACAGCCGGGGAATCGCACCCGTAGGGTAGATTGATCATGGAGCGATACCGGCAAGTCCCCTAGCGTCGCAAGTCGCTTCAAATCATTCAAAACCGCGGCAAAATCCTTTAGTGCACGAGCAAAGTCGAGGGAAAGGAAGTCCATCAAGTTGACAGTATTCAAGTTGACGGGCTCAGTAGCATCAGCAACGGATGGTTTTTGCAGTGCTGTCAAGCGTGCAAATGCAGTAATCGTTGGGGATAGTCTAAAGTCAATATAGGATCCAGGGGAGTTTCGAGGGATTCCCTGCATTTTGCGGCCCGCTTCGTCTTGAAGAACCGTGACTGCTCGGTATTGCTTGCGGCCAGTTCGTTGATCTACCCCGTCAAACCTGGCTCTCTGTCCAGAAAGCCAAAAAGCACGAACTCCAGTTGACACATTGTGAACTACTTGGGCTGGGCATGCCGGGCCATGAGAGAAGTATCTTGCGCCACCAAGACGTCCCGCACCAAGTGTATATCCACCGGCTGTTCGGCATAGTGTACCACCTGTGAGATTGGGGCGCAGGGTTGATGCGAAGGGAGTTCGTGTAGTTAAACGATTAACAGCAGCACCAATTCTAGAAGCTTGGAATGCGCGTCTGACGGAGCGAGCAGATGTGTTTGAAGTGGAATAGTAACGACTTTGGGTCTGACGAATAGCAGCTATCCTATTTACCGGTTGTCGGCGAGAAATTCGAGCATATATAGGCTGGTATACAAGACGAGCTGGTTCAACCGGTTCTGTAACCCGGGGCCTGATAGCCCTAGTTGCCTTCTCGAAGGCGAATCTAAACCGCACAGTTAGGGCGAAAGCAATCACCAAATTACAACAGGCTTGATAACTCACCTGGCAACCCGCCAGATTTTGGGGAGCAGTTGATGGCCACTTGATGGCGCCATGGCTACCTACTCTCTCTCTCTAGTCGAGGTTGTTACAGACTTGAAAAGAGGAGAGGGGATTGAAACAACGGCTGCCTGAGGGCGGACTGATGTAATGGCGGGTGTACCGGCCACGCTAAACTAATTTTAGTTAACTTTATTGCTAGAGGCTTAACTAGTTAGTTACCTAATACTATGGAGCAGCGATTGTCGGATTAAATATCATCCATTGCGGCTCTACAAGCTTCGGGGAAACTGCTTGCGATCTCGAGGTTTGGATTTGATCGACATAGCTGGCTATAGACAGCTCCAAAGCTTTGCTTCCTTCTGCCTTTTTTTTTCTTTTTCTTTTTTTCTTTTTTTCTTTTCCTTTTTCCTTTTCTTTTTCCACAGCATAATACCCCATGAAGCGTGCGTTAAAACAAAATGTCGTCCGGATTTGTTAGTGGAGGCACGATTGAGGAGCCCACCGAACGAGACGATGAATGGGTGAGGGCCCAGCAAGAGCTCGAAGCTGAGAGGAGACGAAAGGCAGAAGAGAGTAACCGAGATCAAGGGAAGAGTCTCTATGAGATTTTGCAGCAGAATAAGGGTCAGTAAATGGCGTTGTCCTGTCAGATCCTTACCAGCGACGATAGCTAATTCTGATTCTTAACAACCCCAGCGGCCAAACAGGAGGCATTTGAAGAATCCATCAAGCTCAAGAATCAATTTCGATCGCTGGATGAGGATGAGGTGGAATTTCTAGATTCGGTTCTCGAATCGACAAGGGCCCAAGAGGCAACTTTGAAGCGAGAAACCAGAGAGCAATTAGAGATATTCCATCGTCAACGTCAAGAAGCAGAGAGAGCCGCCCTGGTTGACCCTGGCTCCGGAGAGTCTAAGAGTGCAGGGGCATCGTCGCCTGCAGACGAAGAACAATGGACGACCAGTGTCCGGAAAAGGAAAAGGGCTAAAGTGAAGGATGCAATCCCTGGCGTCAAGTTGAGGAAGAGTTCATCTGCGAATTCCGACTCAATTGCCGCTAGCAAAGTGCTTCCAGAAGCTGGTAGCAAGGAATCACGAATGGCTTCGGACTCAGTAGAAATATCCAAGAACCAGGAGAAGCCCGATATCCCCGTGAACCCCGTGAACCCCGCGCATCCCTCGAACCCCGAAGATATTAAGGAACCCGAGGAGCCCGAGGGCTCCGCAACTACAAGCGCTAAAGCCGCCCCCGATCATTCAATCAAATTAAAGCAGAAAGCGGTACCACAGGTCGTCTCATCTGCACTTGGATTGGGCGCCTACAGCTCAGATGATGACTAACATCCCCGAGGAGCCCTGCTGTTTAATTTCGTCTTCCAATGGCCGACGGGATATCGCAAATGCAATCCACTAGTTTGGTAGATCCCAAGCAGTATAGTTCCGGGGAGCATTTGGCCCTAGCCACGGCGTAGTACAATCCCGGGCCTCGTGGAAATTCTTCTCTCAGCAGTTTCTAACTTGTCCCATCTTTTCCATGCTGTACTAATTCCAGAGCGTCGTGTCACCCACAGTACTGTGCATGTTGGACGGTGTAAATGCCCCAGGACATGGCGAATCGACTACATCGCTAGCTTAGCATACTCTCAGGGTATGTGTAGTCCATGGGTTAACTAACTACAACTAGTTTCCCCGCACTTAGCTCTACCTTCATTCCCACGACGCCGAACGCACACACCCTTTCAAGTGCTAAGCCTATGGCATAGGGACGGTTTATTCGTCATGCTTGAAAGAATTCATTCAATTCCATCTCGTCGACATGTCTCCCAAGACTAGAAGATACAGATTCTCCTCATATCAGACATAGGCCAATGAGCAATCGGGTATAAGACACGACATGTTTCCACCTAAGTGTTACCAGTTGCAGCAGGACAGCTCAGAAAAGCAACACATTGGTGAAGTTACAGATGTAGGAAAGAAAGGAGGACGAGGTTGAAATGCTAGAAGGCCTACACAACCATGACTAGTATTATTTGGTCTGCATTGTCCGTGAAATTGGCACCTAATTTCTGAGCGAAATAATTCGAGTTCGTGTGCGAATATCGACCTATGACAATAACGTATGAAACTTAACCGGACCGTGGCTCAGAAAACCTAAGCCATTATGATGATGGTGAGGAGGCACCAATAATGCACGTTGTCGTGGTGCCTTCACATGTGAATTTGGCTCGCAATGTGAACGGAGGAATGGATTCTACCAGTTGTGCCAAGATCGTCCAGGGGTTGTCGGCGTTTAAATCCAATAGGGATCGCAATGCGCGGTATCGTGTAACGAAGCATAATAGAGCCGGTAGCTTGTATCGAAAGCTACCAAATCACTCTCCGCGATTCTGTTTTGCCCATTGATGGTGGATGAACTGGAGCTAAGATCTCAAAACCGAGACCAACTCTTCTGATTCATTATTCGATCAAATGTCATTGATCTTCTCCGTCTCTCTGCATTGATTATGAATCTCCTTAATTCATTTGTGGTTGCTCTTCTGCCGATTGGAATGGGCACTGCAACGGACATGCTTGCTAGGAAAGGTCTTCGAGACGATGGAAAGCTATTCGAGAAAGTTTAATCATCTTGGAATTTGCATCCTCTTTTGAACATGATGCCCTCCTGGATAGCTCAATTTTTCACTTCCAACCTCGGATAACTCTCTTTTCCTTGGTATGCAACCTTGTGGTGTACCTCGCCCCGTTATCGATGAGCCAACATGGGGGTAGGGTACCTACAATGTTGCTAAATGTTACATGTTGAATGCTGAACTGTTTGCATCTGCCTCTATTCACAACAAGATTTAAGGCGGAGAAAATTTTACTCTGGCCAACCTGCGCGCCCTCCTATTGTACGTGCCATATAGCAGTACCCCTTCGTCCAGGTAGCGAGATAAACGATCCAAGGAGCTTCTACATAGTTGCGTACGTTGTTGTCCAACATAGATCTTGATTTGTGTGCACAGGCGATTAGCTTCAACAAAACAGCATTAATGTCAGTGACGTCCAACATGTCAGTGACTCGTGATTTCGGCGAGAAAGAAGCCAGCTGGATTGAAAACGGTGGGCCTACCGAAGAACTGCGATGCATCTATATGAGCTCCGGGGGAAATACAGTGATATTCGAACGCCCTACACCGCCTTTATCACCGAACAGATGCCGGTATGAAACGGGCATCCTGGCGACGGTCGCCCATGATGAATTATAAGGCCTAATCACTCTGCGATTGTTTGCGATAAGGCTGGAAAACCTATGGTTCTAATAGACCTAGGATACCCCTTCATTGGAAACTAGTGCTAGAGTGGGTAACGATGGTTGAGTGGACGTGTGTTTGTGTGTTGCCCGTGGGTATACAAAGGAAATTACGAGACAATGGCACGCTGTGAATGCCAATAAGGTTTAAGGTCGGGATATATTCCATGACATGCCATTGTGATAGTACCAGCATGAAATGGGAAATTTTGGTGTGGGAGAGAGTGGATTTCAAGGAGAGTTGTCTACGGTTCCGGATCGATCTTTGGACATGCTCACATATAAGATAAATTACAAACCCGTTCTGGCATTACTGAGCAGAGGGGAGCGCATTAGGCAAGAACGATAGGATGAGGGGCAAATATATTCGGGACGTCAAGTAATATACATTTCTAGCGAATTACCAAGGATTCTGGAATTTCAAAGACGGTCTTTTAGACAACATTTATTGTACTCCTGCAACGCATTTATATTCATAAAATCGTTAAATCCATAATCCCAAAACAGGCCGACACAAGTTCCCAGCTATCAAAAGGAATAATTACCACACCATCTGACAAACATTGGAGTTGGGGGCCCTCATTCCACAGGGAAACTCCCACTTAGCCGTATATCACGTTCGTTACGGTTCCGTCTTCGCTAACGTGTACATTCAACCTATTCAACAAAAGCCGTAAGCATGGAAAGTATTAGCGATAGGTATGAACCATTCAAGAGAAGTGCGTTCAAATGCAGACCACAATTCAGCGATAGCAACAACGAGCCATAGCAGAAATCAATCAGTTCGCAGACGTGGAGACCAACCTCTCCGGCCTATAATCCATTGTTATAGCCATGCCGGGCTTAACCACGCGGTGGACAGGGGGCAGGTCCTTCTTTGCGAATGACTATGGTAAACACTGAGTTAAGCGCGTGATACGAGACACACCCCGGGTCTAAGGGATGATATTCATATAGCAAACTTACCACATTGTCTGATGTTGATTCGGTCAGTTTCTTGCCCAGTAGTTTAGCCGCCCATTGGGACTTGTCATCATCGCTGACGTTTGGAACGATGAGAGGCATGACGATGTTTTGCGTGAGGAGTAAGTCTTCTTGATCTCGCGGATATTGTTGAGTTAATAGATGTTAATTGGTTAACTCGTCAGCTTTCATTTACTGTTTGTACTTGTCAGAATGTGAGGTAAGACTGATGGTATTTTCAAACCCTCTGTGCCTTATATATAATATATTATTGCAGTGGAAGTCAGGCAACACGGACGTCGGGCGTAAGGATGACGTAACGACGCGTCAAACAGGACAAACATCACGTGAGTATACCTTACCGAATTCTCACTAGTCGCGAAATTCAAAATATCACGTGATATCAAACTGTTTCCCGATATCTCAGCCTCAACCAACACGAGGATGTTCGTATTTTTCTCACCCAAGTTTGGATGTAGCCAAAGCACTTATTGGCTTTTACTGCAAATCGGCATTAGCATTCTGTCTTGCGCATCATCATGGTTTCCATTTGTAGCTAAACACGGGCCGTTGTTTCAGGATTTCAGTTCTTGGATGGCGAAGAATACTCGAAATCCATCCTGACTATTGAAACCTCTGACCAATGATGGGCCGTAGATTTATAGATTTTGATCCCTTCCTTCTGGGGCTAGCTCATTCTATTCTTAGAAGGTAAGCTTAGCAGCCTCAAACTCCAACCGGACTACGAGCGATTAATCAAGGGATTGGTATGTCCTTGGTTATGAAGTGTTTCGAGTTCCTTGATCCCACTAAGCTGACACATGAGAATCCATTGTTTGGCTCTTTCGTTCCCTATCTAGCTATAGGCTGACAAGTTGGCTAACAGCTAGTTAGCTGTTCAAAATTACATTATTATAATGGTGAGGGAATGGGGAGCGATCCGAGCAATCAGAATTATTCTAAAATATGTGAACGCGGGCTACCATCTCTGAAAAACACCAGTGATAACGATGGCTACAAGAACAGCTAACATTTAGAAGCTCGGGTAGCAAATATGTCATCCAATCGGCTTATCCTGATCCCAGGCCCCCTCGTATGAGACTCATTCCAGCCCTTGCGCGAGGCTGTGTTGGATGGAAACCGTCGAAACACCTCTGACTCTCCCCAGAACCTCGACGCACAACTTCATGCCTGAAACTCAATTCGAATTCTGACAGTTCGTCGACATGTTAACTGACTCCCTTGTCTGTGGATGCGTTGTCGTTTATTTTGTGATGAAAATTCACCATCTTCCCTTCTTAAAGGTATCTAGTTGCTCTTTTGTGGGGCCATCACTTCTATTTATAATTCTCTGGCTTGATCCCTGCCTGTCAGATCTAGGCAGTTTACCGGAGATCAAATTTCTGGTGAAATGGGCTAAAAGCCCGACCTTCACACCTTGTAATGTACAGTATTACTGAAAACGAGGGCGAGAGCATTCTCGGGGAGCACATTCTCGGGGAGAATCTATCTCCTCAACCCTTCAACAACGACCATTCTAATTGTTGGGGCTACTTATATTGAGGGCCGGCATAGTCCTTAGGATAGCGCCATGCGAGATACTTCCCTCTATATTTCGTTCATCACAGGCTGGGTTTGCCTATTTAATCTCTCATGGGCGAGCCCTGTGGATCTCTCTCTCACAAAATTCCCACCTTGCCCGAGTCCCCCTACGTGGGATGTAAAGGATGCCGCAGGCTTTCCGGCCAAATGCGCTCGAATCTCCCACCCGTCCCAGCGTGTTCGATTATTAAAAATCCAGAATAGGAGAAGACAGAAGGTGCAGTTCCTTGAGCGGACGGCGCCGTCGCAAAATGGGAAAAAAAGCCCAATACCAGTTGGTAGCAATGGAGAGAAAAGACAAATCATCGACGAACCCACCCACGAACGTGACCCTTTTTTTCCTGATCCTATAGCTACTAGCTTCCCCAAGTTTACTGATCCTCCTCAATTCACAAGAACAATTTGGGAGGATCCTTTTGATGAGCCGTCCACGAGCTCCCCCACGACATTTGTGTCTACAACGATTACCAGTGAAACTCAGACTAGAACTACATTTACCCCCCGTACTTCCATTGCTTTAACCACTCCTGCGCCGACCCAAATGCCGGAAAACTCCGAAATACCGGAACAATCTAAATCGGATGCCGGGCCCATTATCGCTGGTTGCTCAATTGGAGGAATTGCTTTGATTTCCATCCTTTACCTCTCCTTTAATGCATGGAGGCGTTCTCGAAATAAGAACAGAGGAGCTGGGACAAGCACCCTGCCGCCACCATACGCCAGCCAGCCGATGGGTGAGAGGGGAGGTGCGCAAACAGGATTTGTTGCGCGTGAAGCCCCACAAGAGATTTATCCCCCCGCGCAGGCTCATACTGCCAGCTGGACTCATGGCCCCGGTGCGGAAAACCCGCCAGACGTGCTGGGACAACTCCAACGTCAACCGCGTCGTACGTCAAGGCGCTATTATGCTGCATTCTTCCCCACTGATACCAATTCAAACGGTTCCAGCCAGCCAGCCCTCCAATCGAATTCATCAAACATTCAAAATCGGGGCACAGGCGCATATACAGAGACATCGAATCCCGCAGAACCTTTTACCGATCTCCCAATCGTTACAGAAGAATCGCCCCACGGCAATCTTCCCTTAACAGCTCCTGTACCACCACTTGAATCGGCAGCAGGAGCAGCAAGGCAACCAACCAGTTATAGATCTCGACGTGATTCCAGGAATATCGTCCGTCGTAGCTTGTTTGGATCTATAAGCAGTAACAACAGCAGTAACGGTCCCGATCAGGGAACCACTGACTACGATTGGCAAAATGTCTCGTATCCCACCCCCACAGATTTTGGCAGACACTATGACGTCTCCCCCATCGAGCCAACACATTCCGATCGTCTCCCATTCGGGAACCAGAGGAGCCCCTCGCCTACACTCGATACACCACAACCGTGGGCTTCCAATGTCCGACCCAACTCACCTGTGTCGTTAGGCAGCGTTGAAAATGTGGATGGACAACATAGTATAGCTACGAGGCCCCCTTGATCAAGTCATCCGGAGCAAAGTTTTCTTTTTGTTCCTATTTCGTCTTTGACGGGGAAGTGCATATACCTATCCGCTCCGTACATATTCAAGGAATAGTGGACCCGAAAGCAGATATAGTGAATGATAACAACGATAAGGTTTTTATGACTGGTTGCAAATGCGGCCCCACTATTTCCTTTCCATCTCTACCTGCCTTTTCCCTGATGATTTCATGGTCCTATTTATTTATTTTGTGAATTGCTATATACCCACTATCGTCCACTCGTTGGCTTATGTCTATGTATTCACATGTGGTTCGATTGGTTTCGGATCAATTATCTTACCCCAGTACATTTTTGCGTTGAAGGTCTAAACCCTATCTGTATATTTTTGTTATATATTTCCTACTATTTATAGCTGCAAGTATGGCTATTCTGAGTAGGGGAGCGCCGAAGTTTTCGACGTAACACACAGGCTCGATTATCACCTGCATTGAATAAATGTACACATTTTCCTTTCGGATAACAAATCCCACTCTTTTGCAGCTTTCGCAGGGATCTATTTGTGCTAGCTCAATGAAATGATGCTCCGTAGAGGAAGCGAAAACTAGATCCCGATGGCACCTGTCTATACATAATGCAGCATCGATTGGACTACTCTTAACACAAAACATCCATTGTCCAAACATGAACAGACGGCTATTAGGAGGAAGAATAAATTTCACCTGGAGGGCTGAAGAAAGTACGAATGCAGAGAGAAACGGTAGGCTTAATTTAAATGAAGACTTGCCCTAGGTAAAAACATAAAAGAACATGAAAAACGACATACATGAAGGTTAAGAGTAAAGTAAACCCAGTCCAGAAGTTAAAAAAATAAAAAATAAATAACCATAATTTCCCGCTCTAATAACCATTGAGAAAAAAAATATCGCTAGCCCTACCCACCCCTAACACTTCTCAAACACCTCTCCAAACCCCTCCCCCTCTCCTTCTCCCTAACTAATGTGGTTTTGACAAAAGCTCGAATCGCATCCCTCCCCACCTTTTCCCGCCAGGCCGTCCACCCAGCCAGCTCTCCCACAACAACATCCTTATTCCATGCAATCTCTTTCTCTAGCTGTTCAGCCTCCGCTGTCGATTCGGAGATTTTCCGTTCCAGATCGCGCACTGATCTCTGCCGCGATTCCTCGAGGCCTGGGAAGTTGAATTTTAGCGGGAGAGACGAGGACGCCAGGGATGAATGGGCGCGTGTCAGGCCGCGAATTTCAGCATTGAGATTAGAGATGAGTTTTACAGGCCGCGAGAGCGCATTGAGCATTGCGCTCGTGGTGCTGTGTGATGACGTCAGGGCAGTGAGGAATTGGACCAGCGGGGACGAATCGACGGAGGAAGTTGAGATGCAGGCCGCATAGCGGGCGAAGGTTTCCACGTGCGACGTTGGAAGGGAATTTGATGGGGGTTGCAGCGAGGAGATGGCATATGCGCAGAGGATGATAGAGTCTGCCAGGTCGGAATATGCATGCTGGAGGATATGGCCGCGTCGAAGGAGGCTGCGAGTGGCGGCGCTAACGGCGCGGACTGCGTCCTGGGCATGAGAAACGACCTGCTCGACGTCTCGAATTCCTTCTTTGGTCACGGGTTCGTAGTCGTCGGAAATTGTCTCAGCAAGGGCATCTGCTTTCCTGCGTGACCTGTCTTCTATCATTTCGGTTTGCATTTCCGGGACTAGGAAGAATTCCCAGAGCATTTCATGAGTTGAAAATGTAGGGTGAGCTAATAGAATTTTCAAAAGGAGGTCTAAACGCGCCTGAACTTCGTGAAGAACTGCTCTAGAAGGTTTGGATGGGATTTGAAATGGGGTGCGGAAGGGAGGTAGTTCTGGAATGTATGAGGCTGGGTGCTCGACTCTGAGGAATTTTATGAGGTTCTCGAAATCGGATATGCTCCGGCGACAGGTCGTTATTGTGTATGTTACAACGCCTCGCGATGATGAACGCGGCCTTTCAGGATTGGGTGCTCCGGATTTAATGATAAAACGGACGCTAGCATCTTCAACAAATAATGAACGGACAACGGTGGTAATTCGCCCTGAAGAATCAAGCGGAGCCGAGGAAGCACTGGAAAAAAGGATTAAATCGTCGATTCGATTACGCACTTCATCATCCTTCGCTAGCTCGACTGCAGTGAGCCCACGCATCTCTCGAACATTGACGTCAACTCGTGGATCTCCGAAAAATGTTCGTACGAGATCGATACGGCCATACTTGCTTGCCATCATCAACGGTGTGAATCTTTTATCATTAGTAGCATTTGGGTCACAGTCACATTCTTTGAGGATCCTCACAATTAACTGTGGGTCACTAACGACGTGTAAGAGAGTGTTCCCTTTGCCATCCACATGATCCTCTAACCTCAAAGGCTTGGAGTCACCTTGTGCCTCTTGTGCGACTGTCAATGCTTCATTTACCATGGGGCTGTAATCGGGGTGATCATAGGACCTACAAAGGGCAAAAAGAGGCGTCTGGCCATTTTTGTCCCTCTGCCGCCAGGGAAGTGCACATCCCAGTCGAGATATGAGCGTAGGAACGCTGAAAAGATAGTGGGCGACCGTCCGACCTCTTCTGTCAGCTTTAGCGTAATACGAGGCAAGAAGCTGAGAATCGCGAGCTTGGGATATGAAATCCAAAATTATATCGACCAGTTCAGTGTGTGCTAGCTGCACAGCGGCACTTAGCAATGTCGTTCCATCACTATTAGTATCCTCCAATATGCTCTCCAAGGGGTAAAAGTCGTCCCGGCTAAGCAGGTACTTGAGTGACTCAGGCTGGCGGGCTTCCACTGCCATCATTGGAACAGAATCGCCTGCCGGATCCTGGGTCTTTGTCAGGTTCTCGATGGACGTATCTCCTTCCAATGCACTTGTTGAACCGACAGACGTTGTTCGAGAAAGGTATGAAACAGTCGATGACTCTGAAAGGCTCCGCAGGTCCATAGAAACCTTCTTCCGCGATGGGGTTTCGAAGGTTGAGGAAGAGACTTGGGACCAGTTCTGAAACGGAAAGACGTGAGCTAATGATGGTGTGTCGGGGATCTCCGGTAGGCTTTGACTCAATGGCTCGGGAGTGGTGCCATTCAAATGAATAGAATTATCCTGGGTTGTGCCAGATTCTGCATTTTTCGAAAGACTTGAAACCTCATCTTCATCGCCAGAACCGTCAGCAGGGCTGTCTTGAGAGCTATCCGGGTCCAATATCGCCTTTATCTCCGAAACTCTTCCCTTTTTGGTCGCTGTCCAAAGCCGTTTGTTTCGAGAGCTCGCCCGTCTTAGAGCACTGGAGTCTCTCAAAAGATATGTTAATACCGCTTCGAATGTGCTTAGAGCGTATCCAAGCTCTCCACTTTCAACATCATCAGTATATATATACTGTTGCATGTACAAAAGTCTAGCCTGGAGGTGCCGAACTTGTGACCGGATAATAACCACAAGTAACAACGAAACCAAAACATCTGCGTTTATTGCAAGCACAGCGGGGTGTTTCTCGGAGTGACCATGTGAATCCTCGCCACTTTGGACAATAGGATTTTCCATTATAGTCACAAGTTTAATAGTTGCCAGCAAAATCTCAAGCATATCTTGCGGGCATTTTACGTCGGCTATCTTTCGAAATTCATCCACACCTCTTCCAAGGCGGAGAATAAGTTCCTGTTTCCCTTGGCGACCGCCTTCAATCACAATTCCAACTTGCGAAATATCAATATTCTCCATTTGATGGATACGAGCGTCTAACTCTGCATCTTCCGCTTGGCGGTAGCCGCAAAGGCGCGGAAATAGGAGTGAATCATGGACTTGCTGTGCCACATATTTTTCGATAAGACGCTCAACCAGCGGGCCGGTAAGATCTGTTGTCGCTCCCAGCAAGGAAAGTTGTTGCTTATCCACAAGTCGAAATAGATCAATTGCTGACGTTACTGCAGTTTCCAAAGCCCGTCTCATAAGGTCTTCATCGTCCTCGAAATATTCTGAAGAGTTGAAAGGAAGGCTCTCTTGGTTCATATGCGATTTGCCAGTAGGTGATCTGCTTCGCCAAGCTTCATTTCCCTCAGTCTCGCCACCGCATGCTTCATTATTTGACATGGCTGGAGATACAGAGGGTGGAGGTGGTAATGGTTTCCCGAGCTCTTTGCCAAATTCCCGAAACACTCTATCTAAACCAGGCTGCATTTGTCTTGCGATCATTGGAAAATTGGCGAGCAATTCCGCGAATGATTTTATATCCTTCTTTGAGAAATGCGACACTTGGTTCACATTATGACTTTCCGATTTAGGAGACTCCCAAGGCTTGGTGATAAGCCCAGGGACGACCGCTGGGGTAATTCTGACAGCCTGAAAAGAGCCAATAAGCGGGTTCGATATATAGTAGATCAGCCATGGCTGAGATTCGTTATTCGAGGTATAATAAAGGACATCTGAAAGCAACTGGGCCTGGTTTAGGGTCTTAAATCCTGAAATATCCTCGTTAGCTTAGAATAGAAAAGATAGAAACAATGAGTCCATCCTAACCTTTATTGCTAAACACTGTGGTTTCCTTGATAACTACAGTCCGGCCATTCACTGTTGTGATCTGTCTTGCCTTCCCCCTACTGTCCCGAACGCTTGAGCCATCCTTACTTGCGGGCGATCCAATAGGGGAAGTAATCCGCAAGACATGGCTGCCCAGGAACTCCTCGGACGTGACGATATCGCCGTACGCGAGGTTCGAATCTCGGTCTCGGCCATTTACAAGCGACTCAGTGATGGGTACAAGAAGGACCTAATCTCAAATCAGTTAGGGATAGAAGCGCTGACTGAGACTGCGACTTGGGTGGGCGAGGGTTTCCAAGCCTTGGTACATGTGCATGTACATACATGGTTCTGGATGGGCACGCATTGTGCCGGGATAGTGCTGCGGAAGAAGGCACGGAGAAAAGGGTTTAATGGGTGCATCCACACAGCATTGGATGGCCCGGCGGACGAGCCCCGCCACGCATCAAATTGTACAGAAACAGCGACGGCAATGGATCGCGCGCTTGGTTTGTTGGAGCTTCAGGAGAATACGCGCGCATTCAAGGTAAGCAACAACCTAACACACAATTTGTAATGTGCCGGACAAGTCGGAGATTATACCAAGCAAATTATATGATTCAACACCTTAGCGATCAAAATAATACAACAGCTGAGCTTGTTGGAGATTTAGTCTTTATTGTAGATGCCTTGGATGCTGGGAAGCACTAAAATCATGTGATCTGAAGGCTTGCTGGGCTGCACTAGACCCAAACGGGAATTATGGGACACAAAATGGAAACGCGACAAGAGACAGGCGACTGTAGCTAATCGCTTGATATTACACCCGAAAAGAGGTTAGATGAGGGTAGAGAGGGGGTGGGGATTCGTAGCAAATGATGTTTTATTATTTACAGCAGCTGGACAATTGTGTCCCTTAGTAAATCTGTGACAAAAAGATGTTCGTAAAATTTACAGGTGAAGATACATGGCACGGGAGAGCGGAGCATCTATAAATACATTAATCTAAGTAGTGATAAATCCGTCGTTACCAATGTTACACGCAGTGCCATTCAAAAAGAATCATCCGGAAGCCCCGAATGGTTGAAATCCCTCCCTGAATCGACGACGACCGAAACAAGGTTTTAATTTACGTTCCGTTTCTCGATTCCCGTCGCCATAATTCCAGATAGAATAAATCAACATGCGTAAAGGGTTATCGAGGTCCGTTCAGTAGGAGGAAAGTATATAGATTCGAAGGAAAAATAAAACGTTGAAATCGACCTCAGCCCAACCTGCGTACCCTTTTGCTCCGGCATCCACCAAATTTTACTCGAGTAGCGTCTGTGACCCTGCACACCATATTGCGAATGTTCTTTCCTTCCGAGCCCAGCAGAACCTTTGTAAACGCCTCTCTGCCCGGGCCAAAACCTCGGAGTACAACCTCTAGTCGCTTCATCGTCAACAGATGTCCCTCTTCCTGGATTTTGCCCATCATGAAGGATGCAAGCTGATGCGCTGCGTCAAATTTCGAACGCTGTGCTTTGCGGAAACCGATATTTCCACAGCTCATGGAGAGCAAGGGTTCTCGGTTTGGTCGCGTTAGGGTGATGTGGGTATTGTGTTTGTGTGAGTAGACATGAAGGTGGTGTGGCGGGTCTTGCATGGCATAGCCGGACTGGACAACCTGATTAAGACGGAAGGCCATGGATGCAGAATCATTATTTGTGTTTCTCGAGGCCCTGGTAGACGCTGAGAGTTTTGACAATGCAGATGTCCCGTCTGTAGACATATCTCTAGCTTGTTGTGTGAGTGAGCAGGCCGCCGTTCGGAAGGCTTGGGATCGACGTAGGCATGACTGAGCCGGCTGCCCAATGGACCGCACCGCAGCGGAGAAACTCCCTACAATTCCCCCCTTCATTTCTTATTTGTATGGAAGGCAACGGTGGATGGATGTTAGACTGCCCTAAAAATACATATTAGCGATACTGAAGGAAGGGAGCTTGGCGGTTTGCGCTGTACACTACCTTGCTTGCGTTGAGGGGTCCGTGGAAGAAGCAGAGGAAGCCAGGAGAACAGCTCGATGCGTTCAAAAGACCGCCAGCGTATTGCTAGCTACATGCGCATGCAGGAACCAAGAGATCTGTTGCAATTGAGAATGCTGCACTCGTCGCCAGCGCTCGGGCTCAGTTGTCGGACTTTAGTGCCGAATCGTGGCCGAAGCAGCCAGAAGTTTTTTAGTCTTGGCGGCGGACAAACTCTAAATCGATATCGCCGTCAAAACATTTTCCTCCGTTCTCGCGCTGCCAAAGATCCCAAGGTCTACAAACCCATCGCCACGAGGCAGTAACCAGTCAGGCCGGGTTTCTGAGGTTGACTTGTCTTCGTATCTACTGTGCTGCTACGATTTTAAATCAGCTTTAACCGTCTATCCCGCCAATTTCACCCCTAGACCCTGAGCCTGCAGTATCCTTCCACAGCGCCCGGACAATGCTCATCCCAACTATATATACGCAGCCTGGCGTGGTGCGGACGGCTCTGTTACGGAACCACACTGCCACACTGTCAGCTGCATTCGCAGTGCGAGCGGTCTCCCGGCGATCATTGACACATCGAACCTCCTTGTTCCCTACCACCTCATCTCAAACCCTCGTCCCTTCATCAAGACACCCAATTTCGAATACTTCACCGTTATATCCTGCCCCCCCTGCGCAACTAAATTCGATATGGGCTATTCTCCCAGCCAGACGATCCTTTCAAACGGGATGCAGGCTATGGCAACAAAAGCAAAAGGAGCCGGAACAACCAAGTGCGGAGAGTCAGAAAGCAGATAAATCTTCGCAAAACGCAAAAAACGAGGGAGAGGAGCAGAAGGAAAATTCCCAGGAGGAAGGAAAGAAGAAAAAAGAAGAGCCACCCCCTCCTCCACCTCCCCATGGTGATAAAACTCCATGGCAAGTGTTCACTGAAACCCTTCGATCCGAGTTCAAGGCCTCGAAGGAATGGAATGAATCAACGAAAGCCTTAGCTTCATCTGCTCATCAGTTTACCGAAAGTGAATCTGTTAAGCGCGCTAGAGCTGCGTATGAGGCTGCTTCTGGTGCCGCTACTTCCAAAACTTCTTCGGCTATTAAGACCACCGGTAAGGTTATTGGTCAGGGAGCCGCATGGACATGGGATACCCCGGTTGTCAAGGGGCTCAGATCAGGAGTATCTGCCACCGGAAAGGGTATCGAAAAAGCTACAAGGCCCGTTCGTGAAACTGCCGCGTATAAAACGGCGGTTGGAGGGGTGAAGGAAGCTATAGATGATGGTAGTAGCTCTAGATACGGAGGCTGGATGGAGAAGGAGGAGCGACGAAAGCAAAGAGAGCTTCGGGAACTTGCCGAGGCTAAAGCTGGCCGTCGTCCCTTAGAGAAAATGGAGGAAGATCCGAAGTAAGCCTATACTTCCTTGATTGCTCGTAGTCTCTTGAATGGATTAACTGACAGTCCTAGTGCCGGCACCAACGTCACCCTTCACAAAGACGCTGCTTGGAAAGAGTCGTGGAAAGAATTCCGAGACTCTAGTCGTCTCATGCAATCCTATTTCAACCTTAAACATACATATAATGAATCCGAAAATCCGTTAGTCACAACGGCCCGGGGCATTTCAGATACGGTTGCTGGTTGGTTTGCAGAAAATGAAACGGCTAAGGTCATCAAAAAGTTCCGAGAAATGGATCCCAGCTTCCAAATCGAACCTTTCTTGCGGGAATTACGGGAATATATGTTACCCGAGGTGCTTGACGCGTACGTTAAAGGGGACGTTGAGACTCTTAAGCTTTGGCTTTCAGAAGCCCAGTATAACGTTTATGCTGCTCTCGCCCAACAATACACTACCGCTGGACTGAAATCAGACGGCCGAATCCTCGATATCCGACATGTCGATATCTCCCATGCCCGCATGCTTGAACCAGGCGACATCCCAGTTTTCATTATCACCTGCAGAACACAGGAGGTTCATGTCTATCGCAATGTTAAAACCAAGGAACTGGCTGCTGGTATGGAAGACAAGGTCCAACTAGTCACTTATGCCATTGGCATGACCAGAATTCCAGAAGACGTGAACAACCCTGAAACTCGAGGATGGAGAATGATCGAACTGCAAAAGGCGGGGCGCGATTATATCTAAGGCATATCTTTTCCTTAATGCGAAGTTCCTTTCAGTCTCGACAAATCTACCAGCAGTAGCCTTGCTATATTCTCCCGAAATAACTCTCGATTCATCCGCCTTCCTCGAATAACCCCTTATGTACTACGATCTACGATCGACCGGATTTCGACACATGGTTTTTCTTTTTTCCCCTATTGCTTTTTTTGTGCCGACTACTTCCCGGCTGTATACTATTATATGGATTGGAGTCTTATAGAAATGTAGAAATGTGTGGTGGGATAAATCTAATTGCAGTTTTATTAAGTGTATTGTCATTTTCCATTTGTTTTTTGCTTTTTTTAACTTGTACCTTTTTTTTTCTTTTCCTTTTTTTTTTTTTTTTTTTTTTTTTTTTTTTTTTTTTTTTTTTTCTAATTATTATTTTCTTACGTATTCTCAGCAGAACTATTCTCATATCCTCCCTCTCCTCTTATATTGTATATATGGCAACTTTGGATCGCGTCCGTTTCTTGTTTAGCGTTTTCTCTATACAGGGCATCATAGGTCGAAACGTGAGAGCTTGTTTAAAATATTATCAAAAGAATTCCTTATCAGGATCGTCTCTTTTTCATTGGTTTTTTTACATCCTTAAAATTGATCATAGATGTTCTCTTTTCCATGAAATTCTACCTCACAGCGTGTTTGGGTCTTTGGCGTAGCTATTTCTGCCGCTGAAGCAAGGAAGAGGGAGTTTACGGGATAGACATAGCGGCCCGGAACGATAAGTAGAGAATAAAATATAGGGATATCGATCTGTTTATTATTAAAATGTAACAGCACTACATCCATTGCTATATGAAGCTAATAAAAACACCATTTTCACGATTCAAACGAAATGCTACCATATTAAACATGCTCCAAATTTAGGTGGCGGAATCAAGCTCCTCTCCCTGCACCACGTCCAGCACCTCCGCCCATCAAATTTCTTGCCCTACACGAGTCAATTAGCGCCATTAAAATCAACGTTTATAAATAGTCAAATCACCACTTACATTTCAGCAATATTGGGGTCATTCATCATGCTGGCCATATCTGGAAGTCCTCCACCCTGACCACCAGGACCAGCACCACCTCCGCCCGCACCAAAGCTTTCCGCCATTTGTCGAATGCGCGGGTTATTCATGAGGTTACTCATCATGTCAGGGTTGCTCATAAGATTCTGCGCCATGCTGGCAAACATGGGATTGCTCATTATCGAGCTAAAATCAGGCATACCGCCTGCCCCTCCTCCCGCACCACCGCCTCCAAACATTCCCGCAAGAGCTGAAAGGTCCGGCATTCCACCAGCACCTCCTGCTCCACGCGAGGAACCAGAGGAATCATCAACGTCTTCAGCGGGGGGTTCATTCTCCTCCTTCTTCATTTCCTCAATACGCTTCTTTGCAGTCTCCAGCCCCTTGCGCATAGCCTCGCTGCCGCCATTTCCTTCGGCATCAATGCCCTTCTGATACGCTTCCGCAGCGCCCTTGGCATTGCCAAGCGCAAATCTAGCCAGGCCAAGTCTGCTCCACCCCTTAACATATTTTGGGTCCGCGGCCACGGCAATTTCAGCGTCCTCCGCAGCCTTGGTATGGTTTCCGGAAGCAGAGTAGGCGGCCGCGCGGTTGGAGAGATAGATCGGGTTCGAGGGTGCAATGTTAAGAGCCTGTGTATAAAGGGAAATTGCAGTAGGATAGTCCTTGCGCGACATGGCTGCGTTGCCCTGTGATTTTAACTTCTCCGATTCCTCGTTTGGTGTCCCTTTTTGAGGGGTTGCTGCTGGCTTTGTCTCGCTTGCAGCGCTTGGTGTTGTTGCGGAACCTTTGCCTTTCAGTTTCTCATATACGCTGTAGATCGTTGCAAGACTTTGGCCTCCAAGCGCATCCTGCATGGCAGACTTGTCTGAAGGGTCGACCTTGAACGTATCTGCGATACATGACTGCGCGATTTCTATAGATTCTGCGTCGTCCGCGGTAAGGGTTCCATCTTTAAGACTACCACTGAGAAAATCTATTATTGCAAGAGCCAAGCGCTTCTTGGATTCTGTTGGGGCCTGAAGAAAGAGATATCAGTTTCATGCTGCGGGGTGATTTAAGGAAAAATGAAACACAAAAGGAATGGTTGCTATTACCATTTTCAAAGAGGGCTAAGTGAACCCTCGTTACAGTATATAATTTCGACAGTACAGGCCGTCGGATAAGCTGACACTCTTCACAGTGCTTCGTCTTGTTGGAAAATAGTAGTAGCTGTTTGATTCTACTGGATTCCCCTCTGGGCAATTCGCCGTTCGGAAGTTCTAGAAGCTCGGCTTGCCACGTGATTCGCGAAGATCTAACTACCGTAGCGTAGCTTTCCCCGCCAAGCGTTCCAACTCCAGACTAGCTCCTAGGTAAAGGCTAACTAACAACAGCTGCGGGTTGACATATCTGGTATCACCTGAACATTACTCTGGGAAGATCAACGGGGCCATGGATGGCTGTTGCTTGTCAGACCTGGCTTGCTAGAGGTTGCTTTAAAAAATCTGCCGTTGGTCCAAAGATGGTCCAATGCGATACGTCATCTTCCTTCGTTTCTAGCCAGCGCGTTATTCCCAGCGATGTACTGGCCAAATGGAGTCCCTCGAGTCTATGCGGTTAATGGCCCTGGTATTCAACTACCGGAAGTCGACGATAATGCGCAAAGCGATGCTGGCAGCTCCCGGGAGGGCGGAGACCAGGGCTCCCGTGCGGAACGCAGCAGGACCGCCGCCGAGAGCGGCCTCGGGAGCGGAGCATGCTGGGTAGACGAACCCATAACTGGCCTTTGCGTTTCCCGTAGCGGGCACTTGTTCGCCACGATGACAAAGTCCTCCATTGCAATTTGGCAAACTAGAGTACGCTATGTATTCATCTTGATTTTTAAATTTGATGTTCTAATACATTTATAGCCGACAGCTGTGGTGGCCGCAGTCAAGCGTTCCGACATCTCATTGGAAAAATACGGCCCAAATGCGGCGCTACTTCTACGTCCCGACTCCGCCATTGTTGTTGTACAGACTCTCCATGGATATTTAATCACCTACTCCATCGCAACAGATGCCAATTCACACGTTTACCAACAGCGTTTCCCTTTCCATTCCAACCCACGCCGCCAGCACTCTGGTCGTCATTTCGTCACGGAGGAAACAACTGCCATTCTGGAAGTTAGTTTTCGTTTCAGGGTTGCCATAAAGGTGGATGCAGGAATTAGCAAGGCACTGGCACTGGACAATGAGCTGATGGTGGCGACGGTGAAGCCAGCCGCTATCCAGTTAATTCGATGGACTCCCGATGATACTGGACATCAAACGAGCACGGAGCTCTTAAGCAGGATCCCGTTTATTTCTAAGAAGTCTACAATTGTAGATATGGTCTACGACCGTGCTATGAACATTTTTCTGTGGATTACGAGCGATGGCCAAACTTATGCGGTACAGCGCCTCAGGGATGACGCGGAACATTCGTCTGAATCGAAGTCCCAGTTCAGGGGCCATAGATTCCATACCCCTGAAAATGACGGACAAAAAGCCCTTCACGTGGCTGTGAATGCGCGGTTTTCCCTACTCGCCGTAGCCTGTGCAAACCGTGAGGTGTACGTCTACGTAGCGAAAGACTACATGGGAAACATACCCCTTTCACATAAACTTGAGCTCCCTGCGTCACCAGCTTCTATGGGTCCTGGATCATTTATGAGCTATTCTCCTGATGGCTATTGCCTTTTCGCGGGCTATAAGTACGGCTGGACTACATGGAGTGTATTTGGTAAACCTGGAGGAACTAGCTTTGCCACTGACCGTGATCTAGCTACCAAGAATGGCGAGGCTTGGCTGACTGGAGTCTCTATGGGTTCTTGGATTGGTGGTGGTTCATACATTATCCTAACAGCACCGGAGGATAGCCATATCTGGGTGCTAGAAACAGCTCGCAGCGCTCTAACTGGATGCTTCTCCTCAGCGAACATGGCGAGAGCGCTACTGCAAACGGGAACAGAAATCATTTTGTATCGCGGGCACGACTTACCAGACCTCACTACTATATCGGGTAAAGATTACCTTTGGCATCACGCCCAGTATCCCCCTGCTTACCTCCATGCGCAATGGCCAATCCGGTCTTGTATTGTTTCTCAGGATGGCCGATATGTGGCAATTGCCGGCAGAAGAGGACTTGCTCATTATAGTGTCCAAAGTGGGAGATGGAAAACGTTCGATGACCCGAAGGCTGAAGACTCCTTTGCTGTTCAGGGCGGGTTGTGTTGGTATGGACATATCTTAATTGCTGCTGTTGAATGTGATAATTCCTACGAGGTATATGTTCTAATTCTCTCTAAATTAATTCCGGACCTTAAAACTAATTGGCATAGTTGCGGCTATACTCTCGTGAGCTTTCCCTTAGCAGTTCTTCTGTGCTATATACCGAGACTCTTCCTGCGCCTGCCGTATTCATCGGACCTTCCGGGGAAGACTCGCTCTTGGTCTACACATATGACAATATATTATATCACTATGTGATAAATGCTACGCAAACGAGAATCAGCCTTGTTCAAGTTGGTCAGATAGCCTTTCATGGCATCGTTAGAGCTCCTACACGAGTTCGGGCCATCAGTTGGGTATTGCCTGACAGCCAGCTCCGTAAGCAACTTTCCATTCTCGTCTTCAACTTGGTCTAAGAAAACTAACACGGTTCAAAGGAGATGGTGACCCTTCCCAGGATGTTTCTGTCGCATCAGTTCTATTCCTCGTTGATGGAAAGCTTGTATTGCTACAACCATCAGTTTCGGAAGCGGGCGATTTGAAATATGACATGCGCATTGTTGCCCACGATGTGGAGTACTACATTTTAATGCGTGATCAGCTGTCCTTCAACTTTGCTCCGCCCTCCGACGAACCAACCACTCCGGCAGTGGGAACCGCAGTTAGCGCGTCTCAGACTAACATATCTTTAAGAGATTCTTTGTGGATCTTTTGTGGCAAAGATTTACTTGTGTGGAGTGATGTACTGGATGTTCTCCGTCCAGTCAGGGGCTCTCAAAATGAAACAGTGAAGCCCTTGCCTATACCAGTTGACTTTTACCCATTATCTATACTTCTTAATAAAGGCGTTGTGCTTGGTGCTGAGCCTGAAATGATTCAGAGACGAGATGTTACGTTTTCCCTCCTTCGATTTGCCATTAGAGTAAGTCATACTCCCCATCAGATAGAATCGCTAGTTCCCTGACTTTAACATGTTATCAGACACAACTATTCCTACCGTACCTCCTCCAACACAACTTAAGCCAGCTCGACACGCCATCAGCTCTCTCCCTCTGCCATCATTACTCACATTTATCCTATTTCCCCCACGCACTAGAAATACTACTGCACCATGTGCTGGATGATGAAGTAGACAATCAAGAACGCCAAGCCCAGCAGGATGGAACAGCAAGTCACCAGCTGCTACCTACCGTGCTTTCCTTCTTGCAGTCCGCTATCCCAACCGATGTTTATCTGGAGATTCTTGTTCAGTGTACCCGAAAAACAGAACTTCGATCATGGCGTACCCTGTTCGCTCACCTTCCTCCTCCAAAGGAACTATTCGAACAAGCTCTCAGATTAAACTCCCTGAAGACAGCTGGAGGCTATTTATTGGTACTTCAGGCATTTGACGAGAAAGAGGACGGAGGTGCCGACAAGGGAATTGAAGATTCCGTCGTCCGTCTTCTCAGACTAGCTTCACAGAAGGGCGACTGGGAGCTATGCGGGGAGCTAGCCCGTTTCGTGATCGCCCTAGATGATTCCGGGGAGATGCTCCAGCGTGCCGTCGTTAAGGTTGGATTGAGAAGGGGAGACCAGCCGTCGCCAAACCCTTTAGGCGTAAATCGGACCGGCAACAGAACCGTGTCCTCCAGTGGAACCTTGGGGCTGGCCCTCACTCTACCTGAACAAGACCCTGCATCACTCTCGCCTAATAGTATTGGTAGTCGGCGACACAGTAGAAGAAACGGCGTGCTTACTCCGTCTATCCCTCCTAGCACGTCAGCAACTCTATCACCGTCCATCTCACAACAATCCAAAACCGATCCTGCTGATGAGGACAGAGACCATTCTACAGACAACCTTGCTTCCTAATCGCCATCCCTACCAGCAGCTCTGCCTCATATGTTGGGGTAAACCTTACCGTGATTAATTACCCCTTAGCGCATTGCGTTTTCTTTTACTTATATCCTCCTCTTTACTATTGTTGCTGCTCATTTATTGATATATATATATACGTATTTACGTCTCAGCGTTTTGGCCTCGTGTATTCCTACCTTGGTTTCGTTTAACTTTCATTCATCCCATTGTAGCATGGACAGGAGGTTTTTCACAAGTGCGTAGGTTAGTTAATTTGAGACTTTATTTGGTCTTGTTTTAGCCTCTAGAATAGAATTTTCTTCGTATCTGGCCTCTATAAGTACTTATAGCCACCTCTGTACTTAGATATGTACGAAAACAGGTTCTTGAGGTCGTCAATATCGGGCGGATTATTAAGCTTCATTCTGTTATCCCTCATTCTTCCTACCATTATGTGTTAAAGGGGAAGAAATCGTATATCCAGATAGGTTGAGATGAGAATATCACTCAATCCAAGATATTTGGGTCCATTCCTATCCAGAATGTAAACATCTGGATGATAGGTAGTTATCGATATCCACTCAAATGAATCACGATCAACCACAGCCAACCCAAAGCGCCTCAAGCCATAACAAATTAAACCAAGCAGAGAACCAGGGAAAAAAAATTCCACGGGAAGGCAAAAAAAAAAAGACAGAAGTAAAACCCCTCTCTTCCCTCACCCCACCCAGCACCTCACCCCACAAGTTCAATCTTCCAGAGCCCATCCCCCAAATAATGCCCTTCATCCATCACAACCCCTTTCCCTTTCTTCTTCATCTCCTCCGTGCCCACCTTCAACGGCCCAACCATGCAAATCTCCTCCTTCCCTTCCGCCTTAATCGCCACCACTTCCCCAGCCTCAATCTCTCTTTCGCCGGGATTGTTCGCGGGGTCCGGCAGGCTGCCGCCGGCTGAAGTGAGGCCGGGGGCCATGAGTGCAGCGCCCGAGAGGACGAAGCGGATGGCGCCCCGGTCTATGCCGATGGTATGGACGGCATCGGGGAATTGGTGTAGGACTCGCAGGTGGGGGATCGGAGGGTTGTCGAATGATTGATAGAGGATGGGGCGCGAGTCGATTGTGTAGAGGGTTACGCGGTCTGGGACGTGTCTGCGGAATTGAACTGTGATTAGTCAATGTGGTGCGTGGTGAGGGTAAAGGTGTGATGTGGCCGAGATAGGAGTGTGTAGTTGTGGGCTGGATCTCGCAACTCACAGCTTGACAGCCTCCAGCGAAGCCTTTTTGGGTATTAGCTCATCGATATAGGGCTCAAAGCCGGGATATGTCTCGACGAGCTTTTGTTTGATAGCGCGCTGGACGGAGGATTTGACTTTGGACCTTGCGCCTAAGGAGACACTGGAAGAAAGCTGTAAGTAGGTTTTTTTTTTTTTTGATAGGAAACAGAAACTGGAGACAAAGGATATATATCAAAACGCTATCAAAACACGAGCATTCTCCGATAGAGCGGAGCAATATCTCGTCCATCTGCTTTGAAGCTCTCTCTCCCCTTGGTGTAGAGCGGGCGGGGCAGTTTTGAATCCGATGCAATACGGAGAACGCGGAGACAGGGTGGGCAATCCTTACTCTTTTTTAAACATTGTAAATAGAAGCACAGCGGACAGACTGACAAAAGGAAATTGTCAGATTCTAGTGTCCGGGTCTATGGTCTAAATGCTTCTATCTTCTATCGACTAAGTTGACGTCTGGGACCAACTTCCGCCCGCTTACTTTTTGTTGCGCAAGTGGCACAAAGCGCCCGACGCGGGGGCTATACGTAAAAATTGTGATCTACTGGCGCCTCGCAGAGTCACAGCATGAATGCGGTCACACAATCTACGTATCTAGATGGAAAAAGGGCCATATGGAGGAGTTGTGGTTCCTGCTCACATTATAATTATTTGTATTTATTGAGCCAGCCTGCTAAATAGCCAAAAGGCAAAGATCCCATATGCTTTACTGGGAGTCCACCTATGCCTTTGCGGCACCAGCCTTAATCAGGACAATATCTCCATCTTCCACAACATAATCTTTGCCCTTCGTAAGAACCTTCCCAGCAGCTTTGACAGCTGCTTCGTCCCCATACTCTCGTAGCACATCATAGTTGAACACAACACATTGAATGAAAGTTTTCTCAAAATCTGCAACACAAAAAATATGTCAGATTTTACTCAAGTGGGGCAGCGGGATCACAAAATAGTGGAGGTTTAAAAGGGATATGGACTCACCAGTGTGAATGACACCAGCAGCTTGGGGAGCTTTGGTGCCCTTTCGGATAGTCCATTGTCTCACTTCATCAGCGCCAGTGGTGAAAAAGCTGCCAAGCTGAAGACATTGTCGCATAGTTAAAATGATCTTGGGGAGCGCCGACTTGGTTCCAAGATTTTTGCATTCCTCCTCGGCAGCGGCATCATTTTCGAAGCGGGTAAGTCTGTCTTCGAAAGATACAGAGACTGGGATTATAGGATCCCCGGGGGAGTTGGTTTTGATCCATTCTGCAACCTTCGGCAGGTACTTGTTCTTTTGCCTGATATAGTCCCTTTCGCTGAGGTTGACCAAATACACAACTGGCTTAGCAGTCAGGAGAAATAGAGGGTTAATTACTTCAACCTATGTTTTGTCCAGTCGTAGTTAGTCAATGGGCCCTCCACCAAAGCAACATCAGAAATGGGTAGAGTATATTAAAAGTGAAATTGTTATCAGGGTTGGATTCAAATCTCAATATGGCCTCAAACGTGAGATATAAAAACGAGGCCATTCGAAGAGCTGGGATTATATCGAGCGTTGTGCTCTTGTTCATCATGGTAATTGCACGAGAAGGAAATAACGTAACGGAAAAAAAAAAATGCAAGGCTGCAAGTTAGAACATACCTCTTTAGGAGTCCAATCCCCTTTTCGAATATCCTTGCCCTCCTTCAGCCACTCCAGAATCCTGCCAACAGTGGCCTCCTCCTCTTTCAATTTTTTTATCTCTAAGCTCTGGCCTCCTCTCCTAGTTTGCTTTGCAAGGGCTTCGAGAGCCTTTTCGACGAATTCAATATCTTTGATCCGTAGCTCCTCGCTGATGATGTTCAGGTCCCGAACGGGATCGACATCACCCTCGACATGAATAATTTCTGCGTCGTCAAAACATCGAACGACCTGGAAGATAGCATCCACAGCACGAATATGTGACAGGAAAGCATTTCCGAGACCAGCACCGGTTGAGGCGCCTCGAGTTAGACCAGCTATATCATATACCGTTAAGTTTGCAGGTACCCTGGACTTTGGTTTATAATGTTCACATAGCCAATCGTACCGTGCATCCGGAACAATGACACGGGCCTCTTCAGGGTCAATGGTTGCAAAGGGGAAGTTCGCAGGATTACCCAACGAACATCTTGTAATAGCTTGGAAAAGTGTGGATTTGCCAACATTCGCTAGACCAACCTGAAATTGCCAGAGGTCAGTAAACCAAAGTCTGGTAAGATGCATTGCATTGTGAACTGGGGGTAAATGGAGGGGAAGATTATAGAGGAATCACATGGGGAATAACAGAAGGCAAGCAAGCGGAGGGGAGTGGTGCAAAGGCAGGAATCAAAAGAAGAAAAAGCAGTACAGCAAAATTGACATTATTAGTAGTTGGTCCCCACATACGATACCACTCTTCAAGTTATTCCCTGGGCGACCCAAGGGAACTTTCTCTTCTTTAACCGGTTTCTTGGGAGCCATTTTCTTCTTTCTACTTGCGAAAGTGCGGTAGAGAATCAAGCAGGGTGAATGTGGAGTGGAGTGGTTTGCGCGTAATTGAGAGGGGGTGAGGTGTTGGGATAAGGCAGAGCCAGCTGCTAGTCGTTCAAACTGGGGTTTGAGAGAAGTCAAGAGTGATCGAGAAACCACGAGGAACGGAATGGTGACGAATTGCGGCCTTCACAAGGCACAAAAGAAGGGACAAAGGAAAGGTGAGGAGGGGGGGATAGAGGGGTATTAGGGGATTTAGTCGTCAGGGATTGAGCACTAAACGAGGCAGCAGGCATTCAAACAGTTAAACCTGAGTGGCCCAAGTTAGAATAATACTCTGCTCCTGAGGAGTTTTATTCGTTGCTTGGATTTTTCCTGTTGGTGGAGGTTTGAAGGTTGAGGTTGGACGGGACGGGAAGAATTTTGCTTCTTAGCTGCAGCCGCTAGCCTAATCACGTGGTACATCTTGCCCTAACCCCAGCGAACGACGAATCAACACGGCATCATCTGCATCGTTTATCTCGAAACCAACAAGAGTTCAGATTCAACTACATGAATGAAGTTATTCTTTGCCGTCTGCCTCAGGTACTTTGGCTCTGCTGTCATGGGAATTAGTAGATATCTTACGTGGCACTCTTGCGTTAACTAGGCTATAGAGAGAACTCCTCCGACATCCACAAGTCCTAGGATATCTACATCCACGGCAGACCGCGCCTGATAAATGTGCAGCAATATGTATGTTAACCTGATGCTGTTCATATTCACCTGGTTGTTATTGATGATGACACCTAACGAGGTGACATCATCCTCTCGTGGTATGTTCAGCTATGCACCAGATAGGTTGAAAACCTGACCTGACAATTGGAAACACTGAAACGCACATCTCAGCCCGAATTATCATTTATATCACTTCTGCTTTGCTGTTCGCCGAGATATTCTGCTTTCATGCACGCGGACGAAAATCAGATGGTAAGGCGATCTGTCAAACAAGAAAAGCAGCGCCTTGGGCAAATGCTACCCACCTCACTTTTTCAGTTCGAAATTGAATCATAACTATTAAACAACTCCGCAAAAATACGGAACAAAACTGGGGTGCAATTGCACATTGAGGCATCATCCCTAATCACGCACTGAATACTAGAAACCTTTGGCATATATAATATATGTAACAAATATCAACCGTATGCTGTTTTTTAAGCTGCATTCATAGGAAGGCCTAGAGGTCTCACTATATATACACCTGAACCGCGGGTGAGTTTAATACCTAGAACGGCTTCTAGTTATACTCGGCCCTCCTTTGGGATCGGCTAAATTCTCATTCCTTTCTCCATTGTTGAGTTTGAATCTGTCCATTTGGTATAGGCTCAAATATGAGGGGGATAAGTGATTTGCACCTCATCAACAGATGCAGGGGGAAAATAGATTCAGTTGGACTCATTCCAAAGAAAGAGGAATGGAGGAGGACGGAAAGGATACGATCTACACGATAAGTATATCTTGCCTGATACAATATCCATGAAATGTTAGCTTTTAAATTAAAATAAGTATAATAATAATAATAATAATAGGGATAGTAATAATAAGACGAGATACCTTCGAAATTCCACTTTCTTCAACTGTCCATTGCTGCTCCTGCTGCTGCTACTCATCGATCAACTAGCACACGACCAACAGGCCCACCCACACTCTCAACGGAAATAAATATCCGACCTCCTCGCCTGTATGACTTTCAGCGGAGGTAGGCTCTAGAAATGGCCATCTCCACACCCGATCCCCTCACAACAACTTGTTCGATCAGCTCTTGTTCCCTTCACCCAGTCTGCTCGTCTTCCCCAACCTTGATCCTGACCA